TTAATATGATGAAAAACAGACACAAAAATTTATGTAGACGTGTCAGCAGTCATTTTGCCCTTTCTACTCTTATAATCAACTACACTTCGCATTCAATTCATAGCCACATACGTTAAAAATTATACGCGGATTAAAATTAACGCGATTGATTGACTACAAGACACAATTGCAGCTAACTGAACAAGGGTTGTTTAAAATAGTCAATAATTTTCTGCCAAAAAAAAAACAAAGACAAAGACGTTTCTGCTGATGAACATGGTTGATTTTTTAAATCAGCATGAATTAGGTAGCCACAAGTATGCTGCTGCTTTAAGGGCAAACGAAAAATAGGTCTTTTTTTGTCTTGTTTATACAATTCAATCGAAAATAATTTTGGTTATTCAAGAACCGTCAGTTTTATGTTTTCCTTTCGTTTGACGGCTTCCAGTTTGTAGGCAGAAAGAAGAAATTACTATGGTGATTCCTTTTACTTCAGCATTCAGAAGAGTGCATGATAAAATATCAGCAACTAGAGAAAACATTTAGCTACAAATCTAGCAGTGTTCGGCATACGTTGGATTACGCTGAATGTAATTGTCGTCTCGTCGTGCCGTCGGTCATGTTTATGTTTCAGTCCAAGTTCTATTGTTCAGTTTCCTTTTTAAAAGGAGAAAATGCAGCAAATCGAAGCGGGGAATTTTAAAAAAAGCCAAAAGCCAAAACCAAAACCCCACACAATTTAAATCTTATACATTGAATCTTTTCTCTATGAAGAGGCTTGGTGTATTTTAAAAATCATCTAAAATTTACCTGTACATAATGGCAAATACAACAGAAACAACCAGCATAGACAAGAAAAAAGAACTGGCCATTTTTCCAAGGAAGTCAATTAGTTGCAAAATAACTTTACCTTGCACAAACACTTTCAGTGTTACACTAAACCCTGATTTGCTATTATGATTTTGTCATAATGGCATGTTCCTAGTTATGTAGCTCTCTTAGTTATCATGAGTTTTGCTGAAACGGATGTCGAAGTAAGATTAAACATCCTGTTTTTAAAAAAGGGAGATAACAGAAAACAAGATAATAATCAGTATTCTTTCATGTTTTGTGCAAAATTTTACGAAGCGATCATCAGCATGAAATTAGCGACAGTTTCAACGAGGGAAAGGTTTGTACTAAAGGGTAGAGCTGCAGAGAATTGCATTTTTCTTTATGGTAATTACCTAGAAATAAAGGTTCATAACTATTTATATGACAAAAGACATTTGCACGTGAGAAAAGCAAAACATGAAGTAAAACTCAATGTTCTAGTGTTTTTTTCACTCCACTTTATACTTTTCTACATCGCTTATGGAATTGTAAAAAAAGTTTACTGCATTTTCTCATCTAATATCAAAACTCTCATTGGTGTTTTCTTCGGTATATATTTTTGAAATATTTTTAAAATTACGTCGTGTGGAATGTTTTTCATTATGACCAAAAACGTGTCTGAGCCAATCAATCCCAAAAAACAAAACCAAAACAAAACGTTTTTTGAAAACTATAGCCACAAAGCTCTCAATCATATGCATGCAACAAAAACACAAGACATTCTTTATACAATGAAAACCATAATGTATTCTAAAACAATTTATGGTTCAGTAACTGTACACTGTGCACATTGCAAATACAAAAGCAACAACCAGTATGGTAAATTACGAAAAAGAGCAGGCCATCTTTGCAGAGAGAATTCGTTGCAAAATAATTATAACCTCACCACAAACACTTTTAGTGTTACGCCAAACACTGTTTTGCAATTATAATATTTCATAATGGAATATTTCTATTAGTGTAGCTCTCTTACCTATCATGAATTTTGCTGAAACGGATGTTGACATAAGATTTAGACTACATCATACTAGAAAATATTTAATAAGTATTTCATCATTTTATGAGCAAAATATTACACGAAACCATCAGTATGAAGTGATATATTAAACAAAGGTGAGGTCTTTACTAAAGGGCAAATGATTGTATATATTTTTTGTTAACAACTAAGGAAGATATATTTATAAAATATTTATTGCATGCATGCATGGCATAAGACATTTTCACTTGAGAAAAGCAAGACACGTATTGGATTACTTTTCGAAATGCTTGCATATTGAAATGCGTAATTCATATAATAAAACTCGGTTCTCAATGCTATTTGTCCATCTCGTACATAGATTTTTAATTTGCTTACAAAACCTTTACGGCATATTTTGATGAGTAGTTGTATAAAAATGACTGCTGGCTCATTAGGTTTAAAATTTTTTCTGGGCCAGTGAAAGTGACCTATTTACTTCGGAAGCAACTTTTGCTATTAAATCCATGAACACACTTTATTTCAAGGGAAACAACTAAAGAAGAACATGCATATGTAAATACCCCCGATTATCGATATTGTGCAGCCCCTGATTCAATCATTAACTGAAAGAGAAAAAAAAGGATTCAGAAATTCGATCGAAAGTCCACTAATAATGCCACGGTCACTCTTATAACCTTTTTCACATCGAAATTGTGCCAGAAAAATTTCCCTAGAAAGACTTTGATTTTGTTAAAAAGCTGTTGAAATCTATCTTTGTTCTTATATAAAACAAGCACTAAATGAATGCTCAAATTATTAAAATGCGCTTTGATTATGATTGTCCGATCAATGATTGTCATTATTGCAGGTCATATGCAAATGCTCAATTGATGACTTCTTCAATGCACACAAGATAAGGATCTCATGAACTCATTCGTGTAGCGTAAATTAAATTGAGTTAGAGATTGTATAGGTCGATGTATGTTAGACAGTCTCATGCTAAATTAGTTCCACTTTTTTTTGACGTCATGAACACATGCATTAAACTGTTTCTCTCGAACGTATCACTATGTAACACATTTCTAAGCCCTTCATGATTCAGATCAAGTTTCAGTTGCTCTATATAGGCCTAGTGATATCACTAACTCGATGTACAAACTTCTACAAAATATGTGTCATTAGAGCTTAGTATGTCAACTTGTAAAAACGCACTGCTTCCAAATCAACAGTTTTTCAATTGAGCCTTCAGCAAGTACTTTGTTTTCGACAGCATATTTCAGGAGAGCATCAACAATGACGTTTAATATCATCACCACGATATGTTATCCACACATCACTATGACAAGGCGATCTATGTTTCAGAATATATCCATCGTTTTTGCATAAAATGCCTGATACAAAACACAAACAGCTACCTTCAACTGTAATCTTTCCTATATTACGCAACCCTTGACAACACCTCATAAGCATTTCTGATACGTTAACTTTAATTCACAACAAAATCTCCGTGCTGTCCCTAACTTCTAAACGACTTACGATGAAATAGGATATATGTCATGTCGAAAGAAAGCTTACTCGTCCTGTTTTCAAGATTCAAGGAAATTACTTTATGCAATAGCTAATGCACAAAATATGTTGACTATAAAACACCAAATTTTCAAACTATATAATTTTCATGCTGCGTAAAATGCCTTACCAATGATAATGAAATATATTGTTCTCGGTGGAATATATTTCGCACATTTGAATCCCCCCCCCCCTCCCTCTCTTCAATTACAATCTTGTTTGTTCCTGCAAACACGATTTTAGAAATATCATTTCTTCTATAAGTTTCCAGTGCTAGACTGTTACACAAAATAAACTTTGCCTTTCAATTTCATATTTAAAATAGCACTTCAACAGTGCCATTTGGTTATGAATTTCCAAAGAATAAGATTCGAGGCCAGTTTATATGGAGCCGAGTTACACGACTAGGCGAGTAGCTCGGCATACAGCACCAAGTTCTCGTCTGTTTTATTAATTACTTGATTAACTTGACTGACTGTTTACATAAGACATCAGAGTAACTCCCCTTGATAACAGTGGTGAGATCTCGGCAAATTGAGTTTTTTCGTTGTACCATATGAGCAGGATTGAACGGGATACTCGGTTAGGCTAGAAGAGTAGGTAAGAAGCACACATGCTTCTATACGTTCATACGCTGTAGCGCAAAATGCTCACATGTTCATTAAATTACGTCTGTGCAACATGTCAAGCTCGAAAGGTCAATAGCACTCGTGTGCTCGCGAATAGCTCAAGAGCAATGCGACAAACTTAAATTCATTCTACTTTTGAATGCATTATTTTGCTTGCAAGTTGAAAATATTTTATTGGCTTTCCTCGAAAGAGCTTTCTCACACAAAATATCCGTTTTGTAGGAATCCTAACCTTTCTTTTACGACGAATCAAATAGTTAGCAATTAGGGGTGTTTCTTAAGCATTGTAGAAGTGACTGTCTTTTGTTGACAGCAGCCACGCTTATTTTCTCAAACAACAGTTGTAATATATAGTTAAGATGGCTGTTTCTCAAAGGGTAATAAAGTATTAACTGGTGTTTCCCAAGATTTCACAATTATTCCTCTCTTATTTATACAGTGTTTTTTATTGATATTACGCAGGCGCTAAATTATTCAAAAATCCTTAAAAATGCAGATGATATAGTTCTTTATGGGAATAGTGAAGATTTAGACAGCAATCAAACAAAATTCAGTAAGGACATTGATGCTGTTGCTGACTGGTAGGATGACACTGAATTGATAGTAAATTAAAAGAAATGAAACATTGAATGTCTCATATTTGGAGCAGCAAAAAGATTGGTAAAGTTAAACGACTTATTTTCTATTTACTACCATGCTGAGTGAAAAAATATATGAGACAAAAGAATATAATAATCTTGGGTTGGAATTGAATAGTACTTTCAATCTGGATTCTAACTTTTAAATAAACTTTAAACGTGCATCTGGAAGGCTGTGACTGCTTGCAAAAAGTTTGTCTTAAATGTTAATCAACAAAAGCAATGTATTAATCCAAGTTTTTACGTAGCTTCACTTGTTGTGATATACTCTAAATTAAATTAACTGAAACAAAGATGAAGAACATCTCAATTTTTCAAAAATATGCTGCCAAAATAGTATCTTTCGCCAATTTTTCTTTGGTAGATCTTTCCTTGGTTATCCAACGTAACTGTGAAAGAGCTAGTGAGGTTGTACGAAAATGCCTCTTTAAGGACATATGTCTTCTTTTTCAAAATTTTCATGATTATTATAATATCGTGGCGTGGTTTATCAGGTACCTGTCAGTGATCACTGTATGACGTATCTGGGTTTTGCATTAAGCTTTCTGTTTGACTAAATTTTTCTACTCATGGGGTGGCGTCTGAAGGAGTTATGAAACCGATGAACATACTGGCAAGCAAAGTGGGCAATGGCTTCAACTAGTCTTTTTCAAGAGTGCGGAGTTAAAAGGCAGTTTCAAGGTGAGGGAGGCAAATTTGTGCCACAACGATGAAAAAAAAAATAAAATAAAAATACATCTGAAATGGGGAAAATTTGAAACGTCATTCATAACAATAACATTGCACAACATTCTCAACCTTCACCGGTTTACAATAGCTTCACTTATAGTGACGTCACTACTTGAAAGAGACCCTACTTCCCCACCCCAAAAAGCTTACGCTCTCAGGTAGTTGAGCTGAAGATGTCACTCGTAGAAAACACTGTATGAAGTATTGCTATAAACTTGGGGTTAAACTTGCAAATGTTATTTTGACCACACTCTCTAAAAGATGATTATGCCATATATTATACAAACATGGATGAATTACAAGTTGCGAATAGTTGGGGATGGGAATTTACCCACTACCTATAACGTGGTGATCTTTTTATAAAGGAAAGCGGAAGAAATAATGTAAAAACAAATAGAACAAAAATTAACCTCATCAAAATGAAAATTCATATATCATTCATTGAATGATAGTCAAATTGACTGTCCATTCCTCATATCCCTATCAGCAGTAAATTTCATAACTCGAGCTAAAGTGAGAGTCTTAGATGTAGTCGAGTTATGGTGAATTATTCGTGATCATCGTATTTGTTTTTAATGATTTATTTCAGATTTGTTCATTTCTGGCCGAACCAGCGTGCAAGGGCTGTTTAGGGATTACTGCTGAATGATATACATAACGTCAACGAAACTGCAAATCTTCTGAAAAGGCAAAGAACAAATGCCAAATTCTTGTCGACAATCAACGTGACAGATAACTGAATTTGACGACTTGAATTCCATGTAGAAAATTCACGCCTTCTAGCAACATGCAGAAAAGTTTGACAGCAAATCAAAAAATTTTGCCGACTACCGAGATCATATGTAAAACAAAATATTAACAATATTTGCAGAAAAGGTGCAAGTGCAACATAATGCAAACAAACGCTCACTGATATTATTTTATTAAACGATATCGGCTGTTTGACTACCACTAGCCTCTCTGTAGTCAAACAGCTAAAAGCTCGTTTGATAAAATTATTATATCAGTAAAGTTTGATCACATTATAAGTATGTGTATTGTTGCATGTTTTAGATATTCACTGATATTAAAAAGAACTCTGGGCATGTTTATGTTAATTCGATTAAAAAAACACATTATTTACATCCATTTAACCGTCGATGTGTATCGACGAACTTGTACTTGATAATTATATGATAGAATGTTTTGATGCTTTTGTACATCGATTAAACGTCTTCAAAGAGAGTTTTGATGAAACCTGAAATTCGGTGAGAATCTCATTTTTGACTTACGCTGGACAGTTGGTGCAAACGCAATAAAGTTTTCCTTTTCGAACACTAGTGGCTTCATGATATTTACTAATAAAGTAGAGTATACAAATCAGAGAATTCTAGATACGAAAAAGAAAATAGATGATAACCACAATGTTAATAAATAGCTACGACATGGGGAATTTATGGCAATAAAATGAAGTAGATTTATAAAACTATTATTTAAACAATATACTATATAATTCATATTATTCAGATAAAACTTCATTACTTCAAAAACCCTTTATGATGCTTAATAATTTATAAAAATAGCGAAGCTTTGACATTCATTGCAATAATTGGACGATAAAAATATTTTAGCCTTCTTGCTGTATATACAATGCATGACATTACGCCTTCTTAAAACTGCACTTTCCGGGGGGGGAGTTCGGCATCAAAGATTGTGAGATTTGCTGCACGTTATTTTGCATCATTTGCGCAGGTAAAACAGATAATTCCAAGGTAGTGGATGGCGATAGTGACTAATGGCCCCACTGAACACGCTATGGATACCCTTTCATTCATGGTTCATGTAAAGTCATATGTTTTGTAATGTGATGCGGTGAATTAAATGCTCGTCACATTACAAAACTACGTTTCATAAGTTTTCTTATTTGGTCATTTATTGTAAGAGCATGTGTATATTGGGCCTATAAGAACAGAAATAAGGTTCAAAAGTCGTATCTGCTCTTGTACGGCAAAAGGTGTCCACGTACTCCATTAAGACGCAGAACAATACAAGCATATCTTCTTTGCAACTCATCCGAAACATTGATGAATAAATTTTGAAAAATATTGAATAATTTTGGGGAATTTTTGAAACATGACCAGCTTTACTGTTGTTATTCACATCATACTATTCGTATCTACAGAACGTATACGAGTGCTCTGGTCATTGTGAAAGCATATTCTACACAGCTCTGCAAGATTATTGATGTTTAAACACATTAGGTACGACAATATATTTATGTCCTTCATCTCCTCTGTTCTTTCTAGGTCTTCGAAATCATGCTAAAAGAAGATAGAACCGAATATTTGCTGTTTATCTCTTTCACCTATTGTTTTTCTGGGGTGCGAAAAATGAGATTTCTATTAATTATAAGAATGGAATGTATCATAGCACCCGTTTCGCTCATTCTAAATGGGTATTACTCAGAGTTCTAAATTTTAGAATGCGGAAGATAGCCAATTTAGATTGCTTTCTGTGCTATCTAATAATGGATGCGGTGTGATGTTGTTGTACACTATTCTACACATAAGGATAATAATATCTGAGATCGTCGCCATTTTGGTTTCCAAACATACACTAATAATCTATAACAAGGATTATTTAAATACAATGAACAACAGACCTGAAAAGTACAACAAACTTTCAAGAGAGCAAATTGATGCTCTTAATTACTATTTTGAGAATGGCATGAAATCTACTCTGTGTTTTGAGCTGATAAAAACAGCCGCCGAAGAAACGTCGTTGTCTGTGGACAAGGTCAAGGTGAGAACGAGCTCTTCTTTAGTCGTCCGCCGTCTTTTAAAAATTTTTCTGTATTCAGTAAACCAACTGCGAAACCAGCGCCATCAAATCAAAGCCATACGTATCTCAATCACATCCCTAAAGTTGTATTTCTACTCCACAGTAATTTGTATGAAGTTCTACTTTAAACTTTCCTTTTTCAAAAAGCACATTGTTACTATCAAGTCGTCATACAACAAGAATAAACCAAATTACAATTTACTACTTTCAAATTATTATCTTCAATTACTGTCTTTAATTTACTGTCTTCAAGTTACGTTAAGGACCGTTTGGTCCCACGTACAACATTCAACAACAACAATTTGTCTTTACTCTTATTAAAAACAACACCCTTTCAAACGTCACTTCCTGTTTTCCATTCCGTCCGTAGCGGCAATTCCTACGGTAGCCACACACATTCTTATAATGTATTGTGATATACAATGGACATTCTTTATGTACAGAGTTATAGGCTGTGAAACACAGTAACTGGTGCAGCTTTATTGTAACACTTGATGTTATAATGTCAGTAAAAATTTCACAAAATTTGTTTGATACTGCATGTTTTGAAATTATTCAAAAGCTTCTTCACAACGTACATTATGCTTTTTTTCAGAAATGGATTGGCAACAAAGTTGCTTCTGTCAAAAGAAAATGTCAATCTAATAATTCGGAGTCACCCCTACCCTCATGTAATCCACCAAAAGTCCCCAAACCACCACCCAGATTACCGGGGTCAAGCGGATATAATCTATTTTGCTCAGAATTTTTTAAATCATGTGAATGAAATATTAAATCACTTTAGTATAATCAATAAGGGTTTAAGGAATGTTACCCATCAAGAATTTGCTATGATGAAAGCCTTGACAAATTTATCCATTATTGCAAATGGATTGGTCTTGGAGAATCCGAGCAAAATAAATATGTACAGAAAGCTAATGACATGAAAAACAACCCAGTGACATTAGATGATACTCAAAGAACAAAATTGGTTGATCAGCATATGAAACTTTTAGCTGAGGAGGTAACAGTCGTTTTATTAATTAATTTTGCAATGAATAGCAGAGGTAGCATTAAGTAATTAGAATAAATTAGAATAGGCTATTGATTGGGGAGACTTTAGTCTCTGGAAATGTACATAATTCATGGTATTCTGATAAAGGAAGTTCATATTGCCTTAACATTGTATGCATTTCTAATAGTGTTATGTTGAGTAAAACTCTTTGTTTTGAGCATGTATTTTTTGTGCAAACATGGTTGCAGTGATTACCAGATAGAAAGTTATTTCTTATTGCAAACTTGTTTTTCTTTTGGCATGAAATTTGACTTGAACGTCATCTGGCATGAAATTTTTTTGTATTCTGGTTGTGTGGAATGTATCAGTTGAACTGTTTCATAAGGCTATGAAAGAATTAATGAAGAAATGATTTAATAATAATAAACTATATTTAATGGTAGTATGAAGTTTAAAGTTTTTGTGAAATTGAAAATTTATACAGTTACTAAATGCTGTGAAAAGTGATTGTAAAATTCTTTTGGTTCCAAGAAGATTAATCACTGAAGAGATGATTGTTGTTGCTGCTGTTGCTCATATTTTATGACAATATTTATACTTCACTGTCTTAATCACAGATGTAATGCAGACATATATGTCATATAATTTGGGATATGTAGAATAGTGTTTGGATAACAAAAGATTCTGTTTAATTCTCCATCAGTAATGATGATCATTACAATAGCATTGATGGTATAGCATTATATTTGTAGAAATAATAATCATCATAGCAATACCAACAACAAGAGAAACTATTTATAGTAAATAGAAAATAGTAGCAATAATAATAAAAACAAATGTCATCTTATGCCATTTGTTAAAGTCCATATTGTTGCAAACTATACATAGCTTTTTGCAGTACTTATGCCTAATGTGACCATTATCAATTATTTTACTTTTCTTTTAGTTCAGTTACTTGGAGTATCTTGGTTGCCAGGCCAGCTGCTTACTGGTGAATGGAAAAAAAGAACTTTATGTCCTTGGTTCATCAGGAGGAAAAAGATTTGTTCACAATGAACCAGCAGTTTTGTGCAAGTTTCAAGCAATGTTTGGTAAAGAGTAAAATAGGAATAAAGTTTAACTTCTATTGATACGTAAGCACCAGTTTCATGGATACCAGTTACTGGATGGTACACAAGTAGTTACATGTGACTAAGTTTCAGAGCTTTACTATAATGTCATGTTACTTATGGTTGCAAAATGTTTATCCCATCTCAAAATAGCATATTTCTAACGGTAAATATTAAAATATTTTTGATATCTGATAAAGTGGTGTACGTATATAATATCATGAAACCATTTGCTACACTGTGTTTCACCCCTTTTGGCAATCACCAAGTGAATGACAGTTTAGTTGATGCTTTATTTTACTTTTATGAATTTATATTTTGCTCAATCTATAAAGATATTGAGCACGCTTTTATGACGAAAATTCACAAACTATAATTTTATATTGACAAGCCTGCTTCGTGATTTCTCACTCTTCATTAAATTCTCTAAAAAGAGTGTAAAATCACGAAGCAAGCTTTTGGGATAAAATTGTAGTTTGTATATAAAAAATTTGTATGCTATATTTGGTAGATGTAGACCGAGAAAAACAGAAATGGACTCATGAGGATGTAAGAATGCTCTTTAACAAGAAGTATAGTAAGTTAATTTTTTATTTATTCTTGTACGCAGGTCTTCACCATTGAGAGTGACGTGACCATTCAGGTGTAATTTTAACCACCACAGGCCTAGATAAAGTATTTCACTCTATGGCTGCAAGTTTAAAAAAAATATTTTTTGAATAAATTTTTCATTAAATACTTTTGAAAACAGTATAATGTTGTTAATAACAGTTATGTACAAAGGTTGCCTGTATATTCCTGAATGGTAGTGTTTACCTTACAGTGATAGTTTAATTTTACCTTTTGATACACCTGCATAAAGAAATCTTCTCTGTTTTTTAATAAAAAGTATATGGAAGATACAAAATTTTTTCCTGTGAGTAATTTTGTAAAAATTACCGTTTTTACAGTCATGTTGTTAAGTCATTATGTTCGTTAGTTCTTGTCAGTGAGCATTTTTCTTAAAGGTGAAGCAAAATATGTGACTGGTTCTTGCGTTCCATATCTTTCTGGTGGTTTTCATGTTGAAGGACTACCAGATAACATTCGCCTAAAGAAGTCACGACAATATGGCTCAAAGGAAATACAGAAAATCATGGACTGCCAGGACAGTATTTCCATCATTCTTGAAACGTCAGAATGTGCACCTTTGCAAGATTTTGGTAAAGACTGCAAGGAATTGCTTAGTAATGTATTCGGAAAATGTGACTTTAAAGTATCAAAAGAAAATGTGGAGGTATTGGATATTGAGACACATAGCATTTCTGAAATCAAAGAAATAATATCAACACACTGGAAAGTGTTATGTCCAGAAGCTTTGACAGAGTTAAAAAAATTGAATGCATACGTGTCTCAGGCAAATCATTTCGTTTTGCCTGTGTACTGTGATGATGAGGAAAGTCAGTTCTGGCTTTTTCATTTACAGGATCTCTACAAGCTCTGCACCAGATAAGCGCAAGAGGTAAATTGACAGGATGTTGGCTAAATCATGAGTCAGGCAATACCTTCCATCTTATTAAAAAAGGAAACAATCTTTGGAAAAAATTATTAAGGACAATGGCAATGTAATTTTTGAGACTCATAGGTTTACTGATTATACCCAAACCTTCATATTGAACAAGTCCTTTGAAAGGAAAGTTACTCAAATTTTATCAAAACAGGGATACATATAGTTTTCAATTTCACACAAATGAAAAAAAATTCATTGTTTACAATGGTAACAGGTAGCACTGCAATATGTGCATTGTAATCAACTCAGTTTTTAGTTTTAGTTGGATTGTAAATAAGTCAGTTTTAGTTGGATTGAACATGTTTTTTTAAAAGGTAATATTCTTCTATTCACATATAAGCCATGCAGAATGTCTAATTCTATAATTAAAATTTCGAAGATTAAAGCCCAAAAGTAAAAACTACATTATATAGAAACTACACAAAGACATGCACAATTCACTGGATGGACAAATAAGATATCATTTTTGTAAAAATAACTGTAATAATTGAGATACTTATGCATTAGTAAAAAATATTTATGTTTGTGCAATATGTTTTAAACGTCTTGCTATTGACAATGCATTGCAACCAGAAGAAATAGCTTTGGACAATTGAGTTAATTTCTCTTGCTGGCGTAATGCACATGTTTCTTTTATTGCAGGAGAGTAGTTACTTTATGTAGCAAGATGCCAAAGTCTAAGCAGTCTTGCTGACTTAAGTTGTTGTCAATACTTCCACATAAGGCTTTGACTTCATTAAGGTTCAGAAATACTGGCACCCAAACTTTTTTTTCTTTTGTTTCACAACAATAATGTTTTGAACTCCAAGACCTCCATGAGCAAATCCACAAGAATGCAACAATTCTATGCCTTCCCATATCTTAATTAATAAAGATATCCACTCGGCAAACGCGATTCCGTAACTATAGCACAATCCTTCCAAGGACATGTATACTCCAGTTCCTACATGACCATAAAATTTTGTTATTAAAATGAATGGCTTTTCATCCTGACAAATACCAATTAAGATTGGAAAACATGGGTGAGATGGTAAGCTAAGAATAGTTCTTGCTTCATCAATGACATCAAACTCAGATTTCCTCACTGCAACTGCCATTCCTCTAAACCAACATAACTCCATGCTATCAAAATTCCCATTTGGGAATGAATATGTAGGCTTCTTTGATGAGGAACGTAGCAATTCCGACCGATTGAAACTCATGCAATCAGGTAATCCACATAGCATTTTATTCTCAGTTGAACAATCTATGAAATGAGACAAGAAAATAAAGTTTGGGAAAATCATTCCCCCCCACCCCCCCAAAAAAAGGTTCTCAATATTACATACAAATAACACCAAAAATTAAGCACTTCCTCAAATTATTCTTATCGTGTGCCTCTGAAATTTATGTTAATTAGGGACTGCGCTAGCTATTTTAAACCATACCATTTTCCGTATGACATTGGTTAACATTTCCAATGGCGTCGATGTGGCTAATGCCAGAATAAAAGTAGACATGATTGCTATGAATTCGCTTCACCGTAGGAAAACACTTTCGTACAATGAACCCACACTCTCGAACAGATATACTCTTATATTTATTTCTCAACACTTTTAGAACATCTGAGCATTTTACGCGACATAGGGAATCTTGATGAAACAGAGTTGACAACCTATAATAAAGTCATATATAACGATCAAGGACACAAGCGACTGCGTTCACGAGCTTCTCGAAAGTGAGACGGTTTATATTTTCTTCTCGATGCATCTTTTTTCGGCATTGCTTCAACTCAAATGACATAAATATGGGCAGTACAGTTTATAAGAGTATGCAACATATGTGAGTGATGTCCATTGTCCATATACAAAATAAAAACAATAGTACCCGCTCGGTGATTGGTCTATAGCCGTGTGTGCATTAACCTGTGCAAACCGACTTCAACTCAACCAATCAAATCAATCTATTAACCAAAAAAAATTTGCATATCGATGTAAATTTATCTGTTTCGAATTATTGTTTCGTATCATTGTATACAAGAGGTAAAAACTGTTTTTCGTGTTTGAACCATTGCACTGGCTTGTGCAAGCCTTGAAGCCGTTTGTGGGAACTCGAGCAGATGCAATCGTGCAAACCAAAACCTTCGGTCTCCTGCTTGCACTGATCTGCTCTCAAGTTTTCCCAAAGGTCTCATTGGTTTGCATAAGGCAAATTGTATTTCTCAGATGATATATGGGCATATGTGACGTAAACGATCTAATAAATGCCCTATATTAAATTAACACCTTATGCATATTAAATGCCCCCCCCCCTCCTTGCAACGCTACTTACTAATAAAGTCCCGTCCTCGATAGACACCCACCACCTTCACAACATTACCTTTATGATATATTAATTATAGTGGGTTCACAATTTGGCTTATAAGAAGTTTAGTTTGTCTTAGTTTTGTTTTCTTTGTTCACACAAACAACTAATATACACGTCTCTCTTTTCATTTCGCTGCACCACAACATCTAGAATTGATTAAACGCCCTGGCCGTTGATAAATTCTTTTACGGTACCAACGAACACTCAAAATAAAGCAAAATATATATCATAAATGAATTTCACTTTTAACATTTCGAGAATTCCGCTGCGTCGACATTTTCACTTTACGGTGCTTTTTGTGAAATAAACAGCACCGCATAATCCAATATCATCGAGCATATGTGATTGTTACACAAAAGTATGCAGTAGCCAGTAGCAATGTTTTGTTACAGCAAATAGTTGACAGTTGTGGATTTAAATTTTTTTAACAAATTATGTTTCAAATAAAATATTGATTTTTTTAGTTAGTACAACGACCCTTATAGCATGGACCTTATTAGTAGCAGAGTATGTAGCATCTTATAATAAAAACAACCCCCAAAAAACCGATCACGTTCTTTTCTTAACATCAGAATGTTACTTTAAAATGTGATTGTAGGGAGGGTTGGTATTGCGCAGAGAGTATACGTGCAATGATTACGGTAGGCGTGCAACATGACAAGAGTGTTCGATCTGTAAATTGGCTTACGTGTTCTGTGAAATGGAAGCAGTGCTCAGTTACGTAGATTAATAATTTTGAGTTTTATATTATTTCAATACAAAAGCGTATTCGGATTCATTTCTCATTTTCCTCTTACAGCGGCAGTGCCATCAAGGGTGCCGAACCAGACCGCACTCTCTCGTCAGCATCGTTTCGTTAGCTTGAACATCGGTAAAGTTAGTCATCTGTTTGGAGCAGGGGCGGATCTAGGATATTTTAAACATCAGTCATAAAACGTCGGAGGCGCTCCGCACCTGGGGGTCTGAGGCTATCTCTCCTGAGAAATTTTGAATTTCAGAGCCTTAAAAATGCCATTTTCAGCGTTTTAGAGCATTACAAAATGTATTTTGTGGGCATCGTTTTTGCGTAAATACAACAAATTTTGGTTACGTTTTTTTCAAAAAAAAAATGAAGTGAACAATACTTGAATGTTTTGCCAAATGTTTAGGCTCATTATTATGCCAAATATATGGCTCATTAGCATGTCTAGGAACGTAAAATTTATTTTACAATAATGCTATATTCAAAAACAGATATAGCCTTTAAAAATTTCTACCAAGTTGTCAGGCATAGACCCCCCTAGAGACCCTCATTTAAACGTCTATGTAATGAGTTAAGTTAGAAATTTGGTACTACAAGTGACAGTTCATAGATATAGAAAAGCTCAGACTTCAAACCATGCAAGTTTATTGTAACCCTTTACCCATCTCCATATCAGTATTAGCAAATTCACCTTTTGAGAAAAAACTCAAAATTTTTTTCTGCCAAAGAACAAGCAAAAATTATCAGAGTGAAAATTTGCAGTTAAGGACAGCTTAATGCCCTAAATGATTATTAGGCATTTCACTTGACTATTATCTTCTTCAAGGTGTGCTATATAGCAATCACTAGTAGCATTGTATTATCAAATACAAACAGAATGTAACCAACATGTCTTTAATTATATAATTACATGAATGTTAAAATTGGTTCATGTGTCATGCTTACTGGTTATGATAAATATCTTTTCATATGATCAAAGCTCGTTTAAATGTAAATCTGAAATAATTTAGTCTAGAAATTATAATGATCATCAGAAAAATTACCTAGTGATCATGAAAATACTTTGCTGTTTTGCCAAATTTCAAGGTTTATCTGCATACATAGGAAGACATTTTCACTTTATAGAAAATGCTTTCCATACATCAATAGCCCTTTGGAATTTATGGCAAACAATCTGGTATGAGCCGTGGATTAACACACCTTTACATCTCTACATGAGGTGTTCAGTTAGAAAAGGGACAATATGTGACATGGGACAACATTTCATGCATGTGAAATACTCAGGTTTAATACCATTTCAGTCAAATTGCTTCATGGATCAGAAGACTCAAAATCACACGTTATAGTAAACAGCTTCTCATGTAATCAATGTTAGTTTTCTCAAATCTTAAACAATATGTAGTATAACTGTCCAATGATTGAATGATCAATGATCATAAACTGAAAAGCCCCAAACATTTGTTTATGATAAAGTAAATAATAGTATGGCGCCTTATGGCTACAGATTTTTTGTCCATTGAAATATATTTGCAGGAATGTAGGATTTCGCTGCCATATAACGGCCACGATTCCCCAAGCACTAAAGAAATCATAGCTAAAAGTCCTTCGTCAACAACAATTTTAGAAGCATAAATCTGCTTACCATACGCCATATTGACATAAATCGCATCACACACTCGCATAAATTGACTTTGATATATTACATTCATGCATACACTTCACTTGTCCTTTACTTACGATTTTGGATGTAAATTTCTGCTGATAAAACTCAAAACAACGTTGGCTTGCTTTTTAACATCAATGACTGAAATGTCGCTCGCGAGATCGTCTTTGCCAAGCATTTACAATTCATCCATAAACTTTTCGCCCTCTTGAAAAAATTCCCAGTTTGGAAAGCAGCATTCATGTCAATATATGAATTTGTAAAAGATATCCATAAATTCCATCTGATTGTAGTTTAGTTTCTATCATGCTTTAGAAAATTATTATGAAACGATCAAACATTCAATTCAGACAGTGCGCTTGACTATGTTAGTTCAGTTGGCTATCAGTCGAAATAGGTCAAACCAATCACAGTAAGACAAAAATTTAAACGAACCAATTACACGATAGCAAGTGGACTCCCTTATAGGTCCGGCCACCCCGCTTATCGGTCGAGATTATTCCAGATCGTCCACTGATCTGGCTATTGACCAATGAAATAAGCGTTTTTGGCGTTCTTACACTCCTTTATCCGTCGAACCAGTCAAGCCACCCCGCTTATCAGTCAGTTATTCCAGGTCAATTAAAATTCAACTGACCTGGTTACCAAGGAGATATTCATTGGATTAGTCATTAGTTTTCAATAATAAATAAAGCTGGATTTTTATCACGAAGTAAATGCGATAATAAGGTAAGAATAATTAATGAATTTTTAATTGATATGAATAGGTAATTTTTGAGTTTCAAACATCAGTAGCGCGACGGTTTTGACATACTCTAGATCCGCCCCTGGTTTGGAGTTAATCTCGAGCAAAATATGAAACATGGGAAGGCTTGTAACGTTAAAAGACAAATTGGATGATTTAGACGGACAAATCATGAAATTCGGTGTTTTCAAAAACTCGCCCCAGACCCCGTTGCTCAACTGACAAAGCTTTGGATACGTCTCGGCTATTTTATATAATATGAATGCTCACAATTTTAGATGAATTGGGTTGGGCAGAGAGAGCTAATTGGTTGGGATATATGTCGCATATAAACTCTTACTTGTAGGACATTGATAAATAATAAAGAACATAGTTCTTTCACAATTCAACGACAGGTCAAAACTTCCGGTGTTGTACAGAAGACGAGAAAATGACTGTGCACTAACATGACGTCACAAAACCAAATGTTTGCGTGATATCAGTTATACTAGATACGTGAACAACTTAAATTACATAATAAGTACATAAAAAGTAGCTATTCGTTTACGAATAGTAGCTATGTCGTCTATTCAATGTCACTGTCCACTTCCGAGAGCTCTTCGATGTTTTCATCTTCAGTATCGGATTCCTCATACAGTGAGCATTCAGATTCATTGGGAATGTTGACATCATTGGTTAAGTTGACAATCTAAGCATGGAGAAGAAAAGTTTCTCCAAGCGGAAGCTCAAAACTTTTCTTCAAGCTGAACAACTCATTCCGCAATTTGATTTTAAATCTTATCAGTTCATTCTTTGAACCAAGCATGAATTCATCGCTGCTCAAATCACCAATATCAGCAAGTGCTTCATCAATTTTTGAGATAAGATTGGTGTAATACAATAGAAGCCTTTCTCTTTCCAAGTTTAAAAGTTTCTCTTCCTCGTCACATCGTTTTAGGATTAAGTACATTTCAAAAGCCTTCCTCTTTGTGTATACTGGGACCGAGGCTTCCCCTAGAATGTCATCCTCACCAGACTCAAATCCCTCATAAAGGTCTGATGTAGGATCTTTCGCTTTGTCAAATGTCAGACGATCGGGTAAACTGTTTATAAAATCATGAAGAGAATCAATGGCAGCATTGTGTTTCTCAATTGTTAATTTCATCTTGTTCGTGATCTTGGTGATTTGCCTGGACAAGCGAGTGGCAATTTTCTGACCATCTAAACAAGTAAAAGGAATACAAAATTAACATTTACAAGAACAACAAAAGACAGATATGGTAACATAGCTTAGGTTACAAGTATTCGAAATTTACAGTGCATTACAGTACCTGCATACTTCTTTCTCAATGTTATTAAGAAATGCCTTTCTATGGAAAGTCCATGTAAAGCTCCGACAGTATCTTTTCGTTTTCTTTGTATGACTTGCAATGCAACGTCAAAATTAGGATGACCAGGTTTCCATCTTTCTTTTACAGAATGCTTTCGTTCAATATCTTTTAAAATCTTTCGAAACCTGTTTACATAAATTTTGCGCGTATGTAAAAAAAAATTTAAAGCAAAATATTGCTTTGACACATTTATACATACTGGTATAGTTTTTTCGACATCTGATGAATTGAGTAATCTTCAGACGTTATCTCTTGGTTTTCTTCAAAACATCCGAATGATGTAGCACTAAGAATTTAATAATTCAACAATTAGGCTCAAAAGAAATATTAAAACGTCTATAGGCATGTATTATAGAGAAATAGCCAGTTTAGTACATTAAAAAACCTACCTTAGTTGGTTTTTTAGTAACCTACCAGAACTACTTACCAGGTAGTTCGCTAAATAAATCCTTCATTTCTTGTTGCGTTTTAATTTTAAGTTGTAGACATTTTTTAAGCTTCGACGTTAACGATTTTCCTGAAACAAATCATATACAAAAAATTAAAACAATTAAGGCGCAACAAACAAATAAAAACATTTTCATTGTGTCAACGCATAGTTAAAAAATGAAGCAATGACAATATTCAAGCACCTGCATTGCTAAAATTTCTTCGAGATAAGTGAAGAAGCGCGTCTGTCAAAAGATCTACTCTTCTACTGGCAGACATCTCCTTAGTAATTGCTGAGAACCCACAAAGGTAAGCCCAGAGCCTTTCAATAGCCTCACCATCTGTAAGACCAAAACCATCGAGCCTTCTAGGACTGAGCTTGATCTGTTTTTTTTGAAGATATTAAAAAATAATATTTTACCTACGGGGACTTTTAATCAAGGAAGAAACCAGAGCAGAAAAGATTGTCTTTCTTCAATCGCTACATCATTACCCAGGGATGTACTTTTCTAGAGGGAGGGGGTGCTCTAGTTTGGATAAAATTCTAGTGGCTGCTTGTTGCCGTAACATGCAAGACATTTTTCGTCAAATTTTGTTACTTATATACAATGATTGGAGATTTTTGAAATTGTGCTCCACAAACCCCAATTACGATAGCTTGATGGTTTGATATACATAAATTTCTTAGGGAAAATGCCACTCCTCATCCATCTCCACTAATCAAGGTTGGAGGAGAGCACATTCCTCCGCTATCCCGCCTCTTCATCCATCCCTGTCATTACCAGGTACAAAGCTTTATTCATTACCTGGCATGAAGCCTTGTGTCCATAACAATGAAATATCGGCACCGAAATTGACACTTTTGACAAAATGTCATGCCTCTTGTTTGCCTAGAACGATACCAATTTATTCAAAGTTTAGTTGGTGAATGAACTTGTCCCACATCATACATGCCAACATTAAGATACCTTTAAATGTGATGATAATACACATCCAATATCATACATTACTTTTAAATCAACACCAGGACTTTGGTCAGCATCTTTTAAAATGCTTTGGATTAGGAACAGCGAATACGAAATTCTGAATATTAATAATAGGACACTAAATATTATTAAAGGGTAATAATAGATCACGTTAGCACAGAATCGTTTTGTCCTTTGTCCCTTTATTTCAAAATTGACACAGGAAAAGAAATTATAACCCGACGATTTGTTGTCCATACCACCTAATCAAAGATCAACAATATTGATAATTGAATGAAGACAATTATTTAATGAGACAATTGCTTAAATTGTCCAACAAAGTGCGAAGATCATATCTTCATTCAATTTCAAACACGCACTTCATACAACAATCTTTAATATTGATAATTGCAAACCTGACAGTTTACACAATCAAGACATAGACCATGTATAAACATGATAAATTAAAGGAAAAGAAAAAAATTGGCTGTTTGTAATTTTGATTTTAAATCCACGTAGCTACTTACGTATGTATCAGGGCCCATGGACCTGCATGAAGCATAGACCCACTTTTCTCAGGGGCGAAGCCTGCCCAATCTTTTACTCTTACGATGCAAATTTGTCAGCAAAATTGTTAATAATTTCTTTAGAAAATCAAATCCATTCATTGTTTTTCCAGTGATTGAATACAAAAATATTTGCAATGTAAAAATAGGCTGGCTTTGCCATTGCTTTTCATTGGACTACAAATAAAGTTTGTTTTCAAACTATTCACTCCCCCCCCCCCTCCCCTTTCCAGAATACTTTTGAATAGGCTTCAAAGTCCTTCATCATGCAATAATTACCTCTCCTACTTTGTTATTAGACTTGCTATAATCATCAACAAAATCATCTACTTCATCCTGATCAGCAAACTTAAGGCAGCCACGGTTTGGGACAGCAAAACTATTCCCTGCCAACTTTTTGCGAGTTAGACCAAAGCAAGCATCCATGGAATGAATGGCCACACCTAACTCACCAGTCTAAAGCAAACAAAGCTCTTTAATAAAATGAAACGAATTTTATGCTAAACATGTAACACTTCATATTTCACAACAACTTTAAATGTTCTGATAATATATGTGACAAAAAAACATATAATTTAAAATAGTTCACAAAGCAAACAGTAGAAAAAAAGAAATCAAATACTGACTTGTGGGCAAAGAGGGCAATTTCTATAATCAATCAGGTCTTTCTGTATGAACTTTAATGATCTGACTTGGTGTTTGAAAGATCTGACAAAAAAATCAAATTCTTAAATGATATAATATATACAGTCAAACCTCTTGTATCAAATGACCCTGTACTAAGCAGATACTGTGTAAAATCCAAAACTTAATCTCATATAACTAATAATGATGAAAGTATAATGATGAAACCTCAATCAAGCTGACACTTTCATTAAGCTGACACTAGTCTGTTGTCCAATGGTGTGTACTTAAAACAGGTTAGACTGTACTAATCTACACATATAATCTAACTATTAGGTCTACAATAACTGTAAATAGACTTTTGTTTTATAACATATAACATACCTGTATTCATCGAATGATCCATTGTTTAACACATTATATATGTTTTTGACCTTAACAAGAATAAAATGAACACCTAGTAAACTTGTGCATTTGTTTCAAAAATAAAATAAAGTTGAATACACAAAGTCATAACAGCAAAGGAAACTTCATGTATAATTTGAATGTGCTCTTATCTTATTTGAGGCAAATACGCATTATTTATGTTGTTTGTAAAAAACAGTGATTCAATAAAATTTTTTGCAAAGTATAACCCATCTATTTCCACTATTTGATGGGTAGACTATCACATGGGTACACAATTCAGGTTTATGAGAAATACATACCAGTCTAGGTAGCATTTCAGGATATTCAACTTCAACAGTGCTGCAAAATTTGTGCAAGGATACATGGCTCTCGAGCAAGAATTTTTCAGCAAAATCCATGAAGTCAAAGTGAAATCCAATTTTGGGTTTAGAAGATGAGCCTGGCCACAGCTGGAGTTTAATTAGTTTTTCCGCATCCTTAATACACTGACAGAATTCAACAATTTTTAAATGCTGCCGACCTAAATTTTGTATGAGAATAAAAATTGGATTAATTGATATGCAAATAATTAAAATAGAAATTATTGGCCTAAATGAAGCTAATACTTAACAGTATTACTAACATATACACATTTACATGTAGTCAAAGTCAAAATAACTGTCATTGTTGCCATACTGTACCTTTTCCATCCACACATATTATAGTATGTGATTGTGTTGAAGAGCAGTTAGCATGCTGACTGTCACGTAATATATCACCAAAAAGTAATGGAACAAACATTTCACAATCAGTCTAAAGAGTAGTTATTTAAGCATCAGAACATGTATACATTCCATAAGGCACCATGCACAGCATATAGCAGCATATCCTTCTTGAAAATGATTGATAGTTTTAATACAAAATACTACAGATTAAGTTACTTTAGAGTTAAGACATGGTTGTAAAAAATTGCCAGCATTTGATGAATACTAGAGCTTAACAAGCCAAATTCCAAATGTAAAAAGCAAAAATATTTCATCTGAAGAATTGACTTTTGGAAATAATCACCTAGAATTGCCTTCTAATAGACGACTTAACTTGTTTATGTTTTGCTGGCAGGCAAATTTTATAGGGATTCATCTGTGCCGCCAGAAAGAATTAAGCTTACCTTCCATATTTCAACCAAATGGAAAACATTCCTCGTTCGATGAAGGGATTCCGCACACTCAAAACAGTAGAACTGTCCGTGACCGCAATCACGACATCTAATTTCTGCTTTCTTTGCTGGTATCCCATCTTCTACACATTTTACGCAGAGTTTTCCTGGTAACATGGCACAATTTTCGATGTACGACTTTACTAAATTATTTTGCAAACACTTCCAGGATTCGCTTTCATTCACTCTCCTCCTTTCATATCGAGATCCAATTCCACGTAAATTATTTGTACCTTCGTTAAGGTTTTCTTGAAAGCCTTCAAATGTATCGATCGTACGAACTGGAAGAACAACATTAGGAGAGAGAGAAATATTTTTCCTACTAAGTTTCCCAGCAGCAGAGTATGTCTTCACAGTCAAAGAGTATGGTTTTACCCTGCGATTGCCGCTCCAACTAAGCGCCATCTTTTCTGTCTGTCTCACACTAACAGTGTCCAGAGATATTGAGGTCAGGAGAGACAAACATAGCCTTTAGATTGCACAGAAAGCAATCTAAATTGGCTATCTTCCGCATTCTAAAGTTTAGAGCTCTGAGTAATACCCATTTAGAATGAGCGAAACGGGTGATCATAGCGTGTTTTCCCATGTAAGACTTCTTCAAGTAAGTATTATCAAAATGCACATTAAGGAAAGCGTCGTAATGTTGATACATGTCATGCGCAATGAGAGCCACGCCCAATTCAAATGGGTGTAATAATGCTTCTACTCCAGTTTCAAAAGGTGTAATTAAGCCTCCACTCCTCCACTATCATTATTTAAAATCAAAGCTCTTACAGACATTTTCAAACGTGTCTGACACTTAAGAAATTCGGTGTGTTACTAAATTGAAAACGAAACTTTTTCACAAAACAAAAAAAAATCAAATTTATTAAGTCTGCCAAAAACCACTTAAAAACTTTGCAGTTTAAGCATGAAGAATATTTAATGTTAAATGAAAAGTAGTGAGAGCTTGAAAGAGATGTAAGAATAACCATAACACTAGAAGATGCATTTAAGCTCTCAACACATCTCTTCTTTTCAAGCTGTTTAAGGCAAACTCTGGCATTGTAGTGTTCACAACAAATATCACCTACAATCGTCCGAAATTACATAATTACACGAATCGAAGTGAATACTTTGCATCATCACATTTCACTTTATAAAGCAGCAGTGAAGTATCGTTAACAATAAAACCTCTGTTAGGATTTGCTCATGAAGAATTATTTTAAGAAAGACGTTGTGCGTGAAAGGTATTAAAACAATATTTAAGGAAAATGATTTTTCTTAAAAATTTTGCTACAAAAAAAAAACAACAAAATAATAGCTATGTTGCAAACAAATGTCTAATGAAAATCTACGTAAACGAATCAAAACTAATTTCCTTGAACTAATTTCAAATTTGGACTAAAATATACTAAGAATAAGAAATATTAAGGTAAAAACAAGTCTGAAAATTGTTCTTTCCATCTTAAAAGATTACTGCCTCAGAAAAAATTACGAGGCCTTATTTTCATGGATGTAGATTTTAAGGAATAGTAATAGCCTTTCCATGCCCTCCAGTTAATACCATCAGCGTATGAAGAGTGTTTACCATGATGATAGATCCCGTTTAAATTAGAAGCATGACAATTACTATACCACCATGCGCCTTTATAAATAACTGCACAATTTGCTGAAGAAGATTTATCGTTGTCAGAGTCTTTAGTAGTAAAGGCCATTCCCTTGTGGGAACTTTTAAACGAATCACCAGCTGTTCCTAAGTATTCGTTAAAACACAATGTTATTTGTTGTTTAAGTGCCTATGAATGAAATTTGAGCGACTAAGTTGTGCGGGTAAATAAGCAAAACCTAAATAGAAATTTCAATGCATAAGACTTTTGTTTATAACATCTCAAACACAATATATCTTTACACTATGTTAATAATTTACTAGTCATATAACTGCTATCTACTCCATGTGAAGTTTGGAAACATCAGTACCAAAAATTGCTTGAACAAAATATGAATAGTATTATAAGAATATTGTATTTGTGTTTTGGCTTCAAAAGAAACAAAATGTACGATTTTAAAGAGCAAACAAAATCACATATTATATTCAACACATCATAACAACACTGTTGAGTTGCTTTTGTTTCCTGCCTCGTCAGTTTGAATCATTGTTTTACAGTGATAACGAAGAGCATGACCCAAATGAAAATTGTATTTTTCGGGAGCATGTAAAGCAAAGATCATGTTGTTAGTTCATTGTAAATAATTTCATTCAAGTTAACTTATATGAAACTATTTGCCTACGTTATCCTATGAAGAAATTAACAAGTGAATGTCATCAAGTGCACTCAAGGTTACAAAAGTGTTACCTCGTTAGAAGGCACCAAGGAATACCAAAATTTAGTTTGTTTCAAGAATAAGGCATCGTTGGGATTAATGACGGGTTTACACAGTTTGGTCCCTCACAAAGCAGCTTTTTAACAACTGTCACAATTGGCATAAATCTGATCTTAATTGGCTTTATGTTAAAAACACCATTTAAGAAGCTACTTCAATATAGAGTTGTATGTAAAATCACATGTCCACGATGTAGCTCGTGCTATGCTGGCCAAACAAGATGTCAGTTACTTCACTGTAATAAGGAGCATCATAGCAAAACAAGTCCCGTGTAAATCACTTTAGTTTATGTAATGACAGTTTTAGGATGGAAAATGTATGTTAATTAGAGAGTTCGTCAAGATCTACGACTCACTTAAAGGCCAATTTCCATTTCGGTCGCTTTGCTCGCGCGTGCAGGGCATACACGTTTTAGCATGCGCTATAAACTACGTCATTGGCTTCTCTCGGACTTTGTGGACACTTGCGCACACGCTTTAAAACTTGAAAAATTTCGACTTTCTTATCGTGGGAAGCATGGAACACATGAATGATATCAACCAATCACCAAGAGTTAAGTCGCCAAGGGAAGTCTGGCTGGTATAGTTATAATAACATCACCAGTGACCAGGTACCTCAGTGTTATTGTCAGTCTGTCGTCTAGTCCTATGGCTACGTGTCGTGTTTACCAGCATGTGATGCTGGGAATAACTAAACCAAGTAGCTCTTCAAATGTACTTGGGTTTTTTGGAAACATTTGAAAAAAGATTATGCTGAATAACATTGATATTCGCCTAAAGTGTGATATTCGCCATTACTTTTTCCATCTAAATAGATTTTCCTCGCCCAAAATCGTTTTCTGTATTTCTTTCGTTGCAATCGCCGTCTTAATAATATCAGAGTCAAGAGTCTTCTATTTAAAGCTACTATCTTTGACAAGTTTTTACATTACCGCGCGCAAAATAGTTTAATGAGACTGTTTTTAAACGCGCGTACGAATGCTTAAAATTGTTCTCTCCGTGTGCGCTGGCAAAACGACCGTAATGAAAATCGTCCATAATGACTTTAGCAACATAGCAGATTAATGCCATTAAACCCTCTCTAAACACTAAAAACGAATATAGGACTCGCGTAGTTGTTATGAAAATATATAAGATAGTACATTATTATACTTTAAATTGATAATTCGAAGCTTTGTTAATTCCTATGTTAAATCTTTTTAAAAGGCTTGCACTTCGCAGAGATAACCGCAGCTGCATCAACCAATAATTTGTCTTCAGTTACCCTAACAATATTGAAACCATCCAATTGGACCAAAACTGTAGGGCCAAAAACGTTGAGAAGGGCTGAAAACCAATATCTTAAACCATATTTTATATGAACACCCACTTGATCACAATATTTATATATGCGTGATATATCGTATTAAAGTTAAGTTTAAAAGCTATATTAAAAAGTGATTAAAAAAATTACTAAAGTATACAGCAGTAATTTTTACCTGAATAAGTTCCAAGGCTTAACTTGTATTTCAGTTTTTCACTTGTAACAGAGAAAAAATCATATTCAGCATATTTTGTGTTGCCTGCTGTATCCTCCATGTCAATGCGAAGTTTATTTTGTGTTAGAGAAGTTAATCTGTTTATTTTATCTAATCCCAGCCAGAATTCTGTTTTCAAGTTCCCAAAGCCATATTTGTAATCCTGCCATCCTCTATAAAAATCAACGCTACCATCAACACGACGTTGAAAAACAGTCCAACCACCACCAGATGTCTTCATGTCACAATATACATTGAAACTCCCTTGATCATCCGGATCAATCTGATACACACCACTTTTCCTTTCTCCTTTCTTGTAAAGTTCTGCACAGTCTTTCGCTGATTGAAAAAAAATAGTAAACAATTTCAACAAATTTTCTATCTTTGTGCGTTTAAAATTTTACCAAGTTATTAGCTATCTTTGTGCGTTTTAAACACGGAAAATTTTAGGACGTTATTAGCAATTCTCATTTTTATAGTTTGTTTAATATCTTCAAGTAGTTTATTTCTAAAATCGAAGCTACCGGTCTAGCTGTACTACAACTTCGGGGTTTTTGGTGGAAAACGAGTGGATCAATCTACTCTGCGCGTTCATCGGGCTTTTTATACAAGTTGTGTTTCTTCATCTCACATTGCACATTTCTTTTTTAACAACATAAGAAACTGGATGTTTTTAATAAGGAATTCTGTTTTGATAAATCTGCTTTGGTGTTTGTCATTGTCTATAGACCCTAAGAAAAAGAAACAAATTATACTTGTGCTATTATTTCAAAAGAAAATTGATTAAAGTTTATTTGACAAGAGTATAGTTATACAATTGACGTTGCATTTGATATTAACAAAAACGAATATTATCTATAACGAATGCTGAGTGTATTATAGTAACTGGTTTTCGTCACAGGCCTAATATCACGGGTCTTAATCACTTGTCTTATATCTCATCCAAAAGTAAAATTATTTGATAAAATTAGGTGACTTAAGATGGGCAAAAGCAAACGGCATGTATGATTGAAATTTTAGGCCAAATTCTTGAATGTTTGCAAGTAAATTTTAACGCTTTAAGGTACATGAAATGGGAAGTTGAAAGTTAATTCACTATTCGCGAGAAACCGATAATCAAATGCTGGCGGATGCGAAAAATGCAGCAGACAAGTCAAATTACATTATTATTGTTTCTGAAGACACAAGGTCTTTATTTTTAAATGTTATTTTTAAGTTCAGTGGAAATAAAATACTGTTATGCATTATTTTGAGAAGAAAGCATGCATAATGAACTGAAATTCATAAAAATAACGTATCAAGTAGCCTTTACCAGGTATTCTTAAAGTGATTCAACAATTTATAATTTAAGCTTATAAATATCAATATATCAAAATAAATAAGTGGTGATGATTTTCAACTGTCCATTCTTATGATGCTCATAGTCTTTGCCAGCTGATTTATTTGAAAATTGAAATGGAGATCATTAGCGTATTGGGTTTGACAAATCCGAATGTTGTCAGGAATATCAGTAATGTTTGAAAATAGACAATTTACAATTTGTTGGTTGATAATCATTATACGTATGTCATTTCAAAATTCTTTTGCCTCACTAATAGGTTGATCAAATGGAACAGTCACCTGTGAGCTACAAAACTGTAACAATTAGCAGGAAAATATTAGACCATGCAGTGGCGTGGTGGCAGGGGGGCCAGGGTGGTCGAGCCCCCCCCCCAGCTGTTGATTTCTGGAGGGGCGCAGAAATGAATATGAGACACGAAGTTTTAAATTTGGTCTAGAAAAATGAATTAAAGCAAAACAGCTATTTCCGCAGTTATAAAATACAGTTAATGAAGTTAACTTTGGGGAAAAAGGAAGACTGATCAAAATGCAACCTTGTAAGGGGGGGTCGTTTTACAGTCTATTAAGGAATAAAGTAATCGAGGAGCATTCTTGATGTTTCTTATGTGGCCACAACAATTGAATTGTCAATTGTCACAATGACTGCAGACAACATACAGGGCCAAATTTAAGGTATTCTTTGAGGGCGCAACAAGGCCAAAAAAAATGTATAGTTTTTTGCCTATTTCAATCAATTTTTTGGCTTTCTCCCACAGACAAGAATCGTTACTGGCATTGCATCTTTTTATTAATCGAAGCTTAGTAATATTTTTTGTGGGTAGCCTGCTCACAGGCTAACCACAATGTTATACTAAAGATTGTCCTGATATCCAGGTGATAGGACGGCAATTCACGAATTGACACGACTACATGACGATGATGCTTTACGGAAAATATTCGAAAGTATAAAATTAAGGAAATTCGTAAAATTTTACTGGCTATAATTGAAATAAACATCTCAAAATATCAAACAAGTATACTAAAGGTTGGTATTAATATTTAACATCAATCATCTACAATTCATGACCTCCTGTAACATTAAAAATAGAAATCCAATTGTATAAAATTCTGTTGTGAAGATTCTCTATTGAAGCGGAAAAAAATTAATTTTTTGTTAAAATTTTTGAATTTTCTCGAGGACGTCGCTACTCTTGTTATAGTGGCTGGCCTACTTAGCAGGTCTATTGAGTCATTGACTGAAGCCTGTCTCTCAAACAGACGTCCGACTTGTTTCAGTCGTTTAAGTCAGTCGTCCATAGAGCGCGAGTTAATAAACTAATAAGACGGACTTTTAGTTGGTGGTAATTGGAGACAAAATCATCATTTTGTTGATAAATGATCTATAATATTTTGGTTATCATTACAAAAAAATGACTTTCGGACTTCTCTAGCGATTTTTCATGTAGTTAATTAAATATTAGGCATTTACGCTATCCGCGTACCTATTTTTAATTTTCTAGTGGTAGCGCAGTCATCGGTAGAGTGTAATCAAAATGAAAAGGCTTACATAAAGTATCGAGACTCAATAATTCTGCGACATGTACTGCCAATTTCATTAGTTCAAAGACGAAGGGGGTGCAAAATTTGTTTTGGCCCCCGCAGTCAAAATTGCACCACCACGCTACTGAGACCATGCACAGTCTTATCCTGACCCAGAGTTTTGCTTGAGGCATAAATGAATAACTTATACGGAATTTGATTAATGCTGTGGAATAAAAAGTAATGCCTTGAAATAGTTTGCCGATAAACCAAAATTTTACTCTCAAAACCTTCTCACACGATGCTGTTTCAAAACTCTACCGTTATAGAGTTTCATACCGTTTTAAACTGTTTACTAATCCCATTGAAAATTTCTGCATTGTAGACATATATCTTTAGATGCTAGTATTTAAACTTGAAAAAGATAAGAAAGATTTTCATTTCCTCAAAATTGTTCTAAACAGTGGCGGATCTAGAGTAAGTCAAAATAAATAACTGTAGCACTTTAGCATATATTTACATTTCAATGCTCCAATTGGTGAAATTATAATCTTTAGAAATTCAAAACCAATAGTGTTTTTCAGAAAGTACTCTGAATTTAAAATTAAGAGCCATATTTAGTTTTAACAACGCTGGATACGCTTCTGGTTCTAATGTCTATGTACTTGGTTTTCGTTTTACTGACTATTTATCTATTTAAGTCGCAATGATAAAAAGTAAACAAAAGGTAATTTCATGTTGTCTTTCCCTCACCTTTTGTATTCTTAATACAAATCTTGGCTTTTTCTAGAATGTTCAAAATTTTTTTTTGAAGCAGAATGACTGATTTCAAATCACTATTGGTCCTTCTACTTTTTAAAGCTCGTTTAACGACGTCCAATGATCCTGTGTTTGTACGACGAACATCATTACATGCTACCCTATAACAAGATGTAAAAGTACCAAAAAATGAAGACAAGAGCAGCGTAGCAAACTCATAATATTTTGAATGGGGGGTGACTATATTCTAATATATATGTTGCACGCAGTGACTTAGAACCCAATCTACTAGATTTCAGACTCCGCCAGTCTTCTGTAGTTACAAGTGATGCAAGCTGCCACCTTGAAAGGTGACAAATCTGACGACATAAACGATTAATATCTTATATACATTTGGAAAATTCATATTCTTAGTTTGATTTTTAAAATGCTTTATAGGATTGGGTTTTTCAATCTCCCTTAAGCTTACTTTTTTTTAAGTTTTGTTCTTTTTCACCTTTCAGGAGTGCGTCCGTGCCTCACCTCGACACGGTCATTAGATATCTAGAGGAATGGGTTCTAAATCGGTGGTTGTACGATATCAGTTTCTTTAAAATGCCATCTTCCTCAAAAAAGTTGTTTTTATAGCTACAACATTGAAGTCAAAAATGCTCTATGAAAATATATAGTAGCAAATACAGTTCTCTTTTAGAGGGGAAATAATAGTTGCAATCAATAATCAAATACGCTCCTTATTAAATACTTCTCTGAGTTGTCATGATTTTAGCAGAAACAGATCTGAATTGTTCACATAACATTTAAACAATCTTGTCAACATTTTCTTTATTTTTTTTAAAAAATTTATCACTAATCACGTTCAGTGTATGACGGTTATGCAACAACGATGTTCACGCCAGGGGGCAAGTGTGTTAACATGTATGTTGCTGCCTGGACTGCGATTCTTTCAAGAGGGTGAAAAATCTATGAATAAATTGTGAATGCCTGGGCAAAGATGATCTAGCGAGAGATATTTCAGTCATTAATGTTGAAAGCACGCCATCGTTGTTAAGAGATTTCTCAACATAAATTTATGTCCTAAAATGTAAGTAAAGGACTGAAATGTATGCACGATTGAAAGACATCAAAGTCAATATTTATGGGAGTATTATCCGATTTATGTTAATTTGGCGTATGGTAAGCACAGATTGATGTTTCTAAAATTGTTCTTGCTGGAGGACTTTTAGCTTAGTTTCCATTGGTTATTGGCAAATCTTGGCTGCAATATGCCGCAAAATCATGCATTTCTTCTAATGTAGTTCAAGTGACGAATAAATCTGTTCCATAAGGTGCCATGCTATTATTTACCTCATATATAATTATAAACAAATGTTTGGTGCTTTTTGGTTTACGATCATTGATCACTCAATCATTGCACAATTAATAACTGTTCATTATACTATACATTGTTTTAGTTCTGAGAAAAGTAATATTAATTACATGAGAAGTTGTTTATTAAAACAAGTGGGGTTCACCCTCGTAGTCTTTGCTAAAGCCCCCTAAAGCGGGTGTGAGGACACTGTGCACACTTAAGTGACCCTTCTCCATAATTATTATTCTGTAGTATTAAACACGAACTATTTTACATCCGTGAAAAGTCCAATGTAAAGTCCACTCCACTTTTCTAGCTGACATCTCATGTAGAGATGTGAACTGTGAAGGTGCCTTGATTGTTTGCCAGAAATTACTAAGGGCTGCCCATTTAAGAAGAGAAATTTCTATAAAGTATGATCACTAGTAAATTTTTTCTCAAAAGGTTACTTTTTTCACAGGGTATGTGGAGATTAGCAAAGGGTTGTAATCAACTTGCATTGTTTGAAATCTGAGCTTTTGTATATCTATGAACTGTCCCTTGTATTACCTCATTTCCAACTTAACTCTTTACATAGAGGTGTCAATAAGAGTCTTTAGGAAGGTCTATGCCTGGCAACTTGGTAGAAATTTTTAAAGACCATATTTATTTTAGAATAGCTTTGTCGTAAAGTTCATTTAAGTTTCTAGTTATTCTAATGAGTCTTAACATTTACAAAACATTCATGCATTTTTCACCTCACAGTTTTTCTGAAAAAAGTTTGCAAAATGTGTTGTTTTAACGCAAAAGCGATGCCCACAAAAAAACATATTGCATGTCTCTAAAACGTTGAAATTTGCCTTTCCGAGACCTCAAAATTTCCCTAATGTTCCATTACCGATTTTTAAGAAATCCTAGATCTGCACCTGTGTGTAAACTTAACTTGTCAGTTTCAGTCAGATTTCCGTTTTACGTTGATAAAAAAACTTTTGGATTAAATAAGGGACTTATTTTGATAATATTATATATAGTAACAGAAAATGGAGGACACATATTAAGATGCGTTGAAAAATGGATATAACAAATGGCAAAAAGCTTGTTAAGTCTATGTTGATTCTCTGCAAAATCAGCATGTTTAATATTTTCGTTTTTTGTATTTTTTTAAGAAAAAAAAAAACGAAACAGTAACGACAACATTAAAAAATTATCTGCGCGCAAGATTGGCGAATATTTTGTTAAAAATACGTAGTTGGACTTCTACTCAAACAATAACATTTTTTGAATGAGATGCAACCGCGAAGCACATTTGAATTAGCTTGCGTAGGAAAATGACACAGTAAAAAACCATTGGAACAAATAGGTTAATATATACCACATGTTATTAAATCTAGTGAAGTTTTAGGAAATTTGCCGGGTGGGTTTGCGAATGGCTTTCAAACTTCGGGTTTTTCCCATTTTTCTATTTAGCGTATTTTGTTACAATTCTCATTAATTATGGATAAGTGAGAGCTTTAGTTAGTGCAACATGAATAATTGATTTAATTTTTTAAGAATTCTTTTAAATAAGAAATAAACAAAATAATCTGCACTTTGGAAGCACAGCGTTCGTGCACGTATTCAGCAAATTTCCTGATATCTTTTCACCGAAACAGCATGCTCCATATTTTAACCGTATGTGTTGCAATTGATTATTAGGTAGGTCAATTTTTGTAAGCAAATTATTTCAAAACGGATTCTCACAACTGAAATTATCATCTCAAAAATTGTTAGCCATTATTTGTACCATTTTTACGGTCTTAGAAACCGTTGGAAATCCAATTACCTATTTCAACCAAACGCTTTTGCAAATCTCGTGCGCTGATGAGTAACGTTACAGTTCCCTAACTGCCCTTGTTTTTGTACACCATGTCTTTATGTATACTGTAACAATTTAATAGTATGCAAAACAATATTTTTATGTCTGTTTTGGTGATTGATTTTGAGCTTAAGTGGTAAAATATCACATCTATTGCTTACTAAACAAGCCTAAGTAATTTTTATATGTTACAATATAAGGTTTCTATAATTTAAAAGCATTGTTTCACAACGAAAACACAGCGATTTTTTCTAAAATGTGTCGATGGTATAATTTTAATATAAAGAAGACCATTTTATTGTTTGCACTCATACCAATGATTGAAATTTGATATTGTTAATGTGGCAAATAAAAGCAACAATAATTTATGTACATGTGTAAACAGGCCCGCTGCGTATCTTTTCTTTTAAACATTGAACATGCGTTTTTGTAAATAACGTTTGAAGTCACGAGTATATTGCTCATGTTAGTTGAAGCCAATTGAGTCCCGACCACAGATATAAAACAAAATATGAAACTTTAATTCATCAAAAAAATTATGTATGCTTTTCCAGGATTATTTTAGCCGAAAAAATCTTATGTTTCTCACAAGTATAATGAAATCATCTTTATGATCAATGAAACTTTATAGCAATATTTCGTAAAATATTTAACATTTACCTGCACACATTATGGAATACAATCACAGCGACCAGAGTTGAAAAGAAAATAGAGTGAGCCATCCAGAAAATAAAGCGAGCAAAGAGAAATTGTTGTAAAACACTAATGTCAACCTCAGTACAAATAATTTAGCACGTTTACTGATTCGCACTATTCGCTAATATGACACTTTCGAAATGCAATGTTTCTAATCAAGCAACTCTATTGATTGTCATGATTTTTGCTGAAACGGATGTTGACATAACATTCAAACAGCTCGGTAGGAACTTTTGGCAAAAAAGATGACAATAAGTTCTTTATCGTATTTGAGCAAAATTTCACGCTCGATTATTCACAAAATAATGATTCAAGACCTTCCTGAGTCGTGTGCTATGATAGCAGCAAACAAAACAATTATATCAAAAGTTGCATGAAGTTTTACCTAAATATCTTTGCGAGGATACTAATTGAAAATTATTTACACTTAAGCTTATACATGATATTCTTTATTTCAAGCACCTCTTTTTGCTTCCTTAAATGAAAATCGCATTTTATATGTTTGCTTTAACTTGCAGACTACAATGCCTAATTAATGTAAATATGTGAATAACTATATCATGTATTTTATCCACAGCAAATATATAAGCTTTATTCACAACTTAAGAGGAAGGTTAAGTTTAAACTAGGTTAAATCTGGGTTTTAGTGTTATAAAATCAACCTGGGTTGAGCCATGGTTAGTTCATGTCGTGTGAATAAGGCTGTTGAAATAATCAATGTTCTATTAATAGGCAAAATTTGCTACTGAACGCTACCTGTTTCATTGATCTGAATTAAATTTTACTCGTCTGAATTAATTTTTACATTAAATGTAGACATGGTAATTTTATAAAAAGTTTGTTTTTATACTTTTTTGGCGATTTTGTCGCGACGATGATTTATGCACAAATGTCAGCAGCCACGTTGCTCTCCAGCCTGGCAATGAACTTGGGAACTACTTATCAAAATAGCTTACAAAACGGAGATTTTTGTAAGAACTATGAAAATTACAAACTACAAGAAAACAGCCTGTGTCTGCCGAACCTGAAAACATAATAGATGCGTTATGTTGAGTTATGAAGAAAATTTAATTTTGCCGTTATTTATTAAAGAATAAAGGATGGACCTCTAATTATATCCCTTGAAATCCTGACAAGAGTTTAAATAAAACATCAAGTGGCACAGCCGCAAATAGCAGAAAATAGTTGGTCCTGCTTTGTGAAACCGAAAAGTATGGGTTTCTATTCATTGGGCTCTCTTTGTTGCAAACATCACAGATTTATCACATACCATCTGAATATATTATATGCATCTAAACAAAGGCTCGATACAGCAACAGATATCCATGACATTGCTGTAAATTAGATTTGATACCTGAAATTGCTTGTGAAACAATGTTACATCTATCATATTTTATGAAGTTAGATTTACACCATGATTGCTTTATAAGTATATAATATTACGCACGTCTGTCGCTTGCCGCTCTATAAGAAAACGACAATAACAAACCCTCTCTTCGTATCTGTAAGCCTTTCGCTATCGCTAGTCTACTTAATACCTGAAACCATTGTAAGTTTGTGTCATGACAGCATTAATTTATTAACACACAACAGAAGAACGACGACAGTAAATAGAAATATATTGTTTCATACGCTTGGTTCTAATTTTTATGCAGCTACTTGAATAAAGCTTATTAAAATGCAAGTAACAAACTCGTACGTATTAGCATAGTATCAAATAGAATGCAGTAATTTTAATTAACTTTTCGGTCCAAAATACCACAGTTTGGAAACCATAAATCAATAGACAACAGGTAGTGAGACAAATATTCCAGTGTTAAACTAACGTCTGTGTAAAGAGGAATTGAATGTGCTATGTATTTCATGCCATGATGATTAATTGTCTTTATTTCTTCATACTTATGCTAAATGTAAATCTGCATGTAGCCTGCAAAGATTTTAGCGAATAAACTATCCAGTCTATTCTCTTCTAGTCAATATGCATTTTCCTGAGAACAGTCAATTTTAAATAACCGTAGTACTGATATATATATATATACATGTAACGAAATTTAAAACACGACACTAACACTCATAAAAGTACCTTAACACAGTCAAATAGATAATTTGAATTACTCAACAATGATGAATGTCCTTCATCTCAAAATTAAGGGTAAGCAGAACCAAGGACAAATATATCACAGCATACTGTTGTTTTTTGAACAATGGTCTTGATTTATGCTGACTGTCGGTTTGATAACAAATGTTTATTTGTTTCTACGAAAACAAAACTGCAGCAAAGAGAATCTAACAAAGAGAGATCTCATGTCAGAGTACATGTTAAGAGATGATAGCTGGGAAGACGTACCAAATTTGAATGAATGTATGAAAGTCTGAATAGTACAAACAGGCTTGCGTTTTACTATCCGGTATCGCAAGTAATCGGGTACAAAAGAGCAATGCAGTGAATTGTAATCCCGGTCTTATAGTTTCACTGTCTCGGGCTACCAAATTCGTTCGGTCAAGAAACCCAATTTTAAAACAACATATTATAAAATTATCTGGAGTCTCTATGGCTGAGAGCAACGTGCTTTTTTACTGATTTATGTTTTGTGTAATGATTTTGTGATGTCTTATTAAATACAATCTCACCTTGACTAAGTGGTTATCTAAGGGTTCTGGTCGTTATTGCAAATATAATCATCATAACATGTTATTTCGAAGCAATAACATTATTACAGTCGCATAGACAGTGTGTGATACAACAATTTTGCATTACTTTTTTAGTAATTCGTGGTTTATAATAGTAATAGAAAACAAATGCCCATTCACCCGAAATTTTCGCCTTGTAAAATATCGCTTTGCGAGAAAAAATTCGATAGTGGAAATCCGGCTAGTCAAGAATTTTTGTTTGTTTTTGTGAATTGGTCAAACATAAAGACTTTTACAAACTCCAATGCATTAAATATTGGATTACACTTTGTTGTATAATGCTTCACAGCAGTTTCAAGGCAACGAAAAATTAAGTTTGGGACATTGAAAAAGGCGATCGCGTCCTCTTAATGGAGGTGACCGTTAAACAGAGGTCACTTTTCACACAATTTTCGAGACAGGGTGACTGCTTAATACGGTACCTCATAATACCAGTTTGACTGCTATCCTAAGTTATCCGAGTTGTACAACAAAACAAGGCAATAATTCGAGTTTCTTACACTACAAAGAGGTCGACGAAGCTGTGCCGAGACGAAAGCATCCTTCTACTGAAACTACATTTACAAAACCCGGACATATATACGAAAGCAATTCTGGGCGATCGGTGGATTTCGAAAGGCCTGTAAAGTCCGACGTAAAGTTATCAGCCGCCACGTGATCAAGAAACACAAACATTGTACGATACCGCTTCTGCGTTCACGAACACCACTGAATCACAGTCCAACTCCAGCAGTGAACTTTCAACCTGCTAAATCGTTTCAGTTGTTGCCTACTTTTATTCCATTGCGGTCAGACTCTAGTGGATTGAACTTCGTTTCACCGACGTTAGGCTACCCAATAAAAGCAGCCGGACACCAGCATTTTCCTCAAATGCCATCTACTGCGCATGTCTTTCAACCAAGCGCTGGTACAGACCATTTTTTCTATCTACCCTCACAAGTGTACTCCCATATGCCCCAAGCAGTGTCGACAGTCTATAACACCCATATCCCATCCAACATCAGTGCAGGAGGTTCTCCTACAGGAGTACCCGTCATTTTTGCCCCTGGTCGGCTGGCGTATAAAGAACCTCCCGGTGCAATACCTAATTATGGGTTGAGTACTCCTGCTTTTGTTCCAACGTCTTCTTCAGCAGACTCAGCGGGGCGTACAATCGCGGGTAGCAATATCAAATCATATCGGCAATATATCATGAGATCTGAGAACTATGGCCTGCCTTCAATGTATCAATATAAACAACCATAGATTTTATTTAGAGCCAAGAAGCTAGGTATGTATATATGCCGAGGTTGAGGGAGTAGAAAAACCACGAAAACACAATAATCATATGTACGTTTTACCAGATGTGCCAGTGCTTTGAAGTGTTGCTAAATATATAGAGCAGCGAAAAGTGTATATCAATTCAGGCATTGTTAAGACATCATGTTTCCTGGTTCACAATCAGTAATTACAATTGATTTTAACTAGATTTTCACAATGTTAACTAAGTGGAGAATAGATGATTTGTATTCATCCAATTAAAGGTTGATTTCTTGTACCGGCAGTCCCAAGAATGTGGCTTTTGCAAAACTTTTTGTAGAAAGTATGTATGAGTCGCGCTTTCATTGGAATAGTTGTATCTGCATAATACATTATATAACTAAAACTGTCTCGGGTAGAGTGGTCTTTTTTAAACTATAACCTGAAATTTTACCTCATTAGGCACATATTAAACCATTGAAAATCACTTGTTACCGTGAGTATACGTAGCTTGACTGAGTATTGCTGAATACAAAGAGTATCTCATTTAGATCATTATTCCACTACTCGCATGTACAATTGTGTATAATACGCATCTTCATTTTTTTTGTCTCATCGTTTCTATTTTTTGAGCGATACGTTCTTGTCTTTGTCCTTGTTGCGGAATACTCTGGAAAATTCATTTCATACGTCTAGGGATTTAGAAAACTAAGGAAACTCCAGGCAATCTATCAACTTCTTATTTATTCATGAAAATATTTATTGTAAGATTTGTTTTGAATGAGATTCAAATTTGAAGACAATCTAAATGTTTTAAATTAACTCCGGGCATTTAAGAAAGTTTTGAGTTTCAATACCGCATCAAATATGCAGCGTTTTATGTCTTAGTTTCAGATTTCTTAACTGTGTTGGAGTGAAAGGCCGTAGATTACTAATATTTTCGGAAATTCTTTGAAAGAAAGAGTGTATTCGTCGGGGACATTTTATTGGCCTGCTTATAAGAGTTGAGTTACTCTTGTTTTATAAAAATTGTTGTTTTTATATTTGTAATTTTTAGTGTAAACCCTTCTCTAGCTTTTAAAGTGCTAGAATATTTTAAAAAACATCAAACTTATGCGATGCGAAAAGAAAATTGGATAGTTTAATGTATACTCACTTAGAATTAATTGTTTAGTTGTTCGTTGTCTGTAATTTGTCGACGAATCATCCACGATTCTTGTCGGTCTTGTTTTTCCTCAAAAATATCGTGCTGTGTAATAGCTAAGTACTGTGATATTTAAAAACATGGCTAAAATTTGTGATGAAAAAACGACTGATTTAAACGACAACTTTTTTCATGATGACGCGAATGCCGGCAAGCCATTATTTCACCTGGCAGTTGACTAATTTAAGTAGCATGTTTGGCTTCTAAGACTCATTGGCCAAAACTAAAAGGAAGTATGGTTCCACATTTATTTCAGTTCGACATTTTCGGTCTGCACAAGCTGTATAAAAAAATGCACATCTTTGAAATCCACCGACGTTTAGATTTTGCATGATACAGCGATTGTTCTCCAAAGACATGTAAATGTAGTTGAAAGCAATTCATGAGAATTGTGGCCATTTTACATTGCAAATACCAAGCATTAAATTCCTTCTAATCAGAGCCCAGTATATATAAGAGCTAGGATACGTATTGTTCTTTGCATTTCGCATTATGATCATGGATTGGGTAAATGTGATCACGTGAGTATCTAGCCGTCATTTTTGTCCCAAAAGTGCAAACTATAACTATTTTTTACATAAGAGATAATTTACATTAAAAATGTTTACAATGATTTTATGTTGCGTTTTAATATTGCAAATCAAAGTGATGATGAATAGAAATGTACGCGCTCCCTAATAAAAGCAGTATTAAAATTGTTTAAATTTTATCCATTGCATTAAACAAATGCTTTTCTATTATTTCATAATAAATAAAGTTATTTATAAAGAATTGAATTCCACAGATTGCGATCGCTGCCTATTCATGAAATAAGAAAACACAATAGAAAATTTGTCTTTCCCCCTTTAAAGTTCTTTATATTTGCTGGCTTTTGGAACAAAAATTGTGGACGTTGGGCAATTTTGCTTCCGGTGTCCCAACTCTTTCGCATGTAGGGCTCTGCTTCCATTTATGACAACTCACCTAGTTGTAGGTCTTTACGGTTGAATTATGTAAATTCTGAACGATGGCAAAGTTCAAAGATGTGTAGTTTTTTATTTTCCCTTGTATAGCCCTCCTACCTTTTTTTTCCGAATTTAATTTCGCCCGAAGTTGAACGTAGTCATGACTTACAAACATGCTCACGACTTACAAACATGCACTACCTTTTTTGTTCCGCTACGTAGATGACACAATCACAGCACTACATGCAGACGAGATTGATGACTTTCATACTCACATCAACAAACAGAACAGCCACATACAATTTACCAAAGATGTCGAAGAAAACGGAAGTCTTCCTTTTCTCGACTGTTTGGTAAAACATGACAATCAAAAACTACGAAAATAGGTTTATCGCAAGCCAACACATACTGACTGACTACTAGACCAATCATCTTACAACCCTACATCACACAAAGTCACCACAATCAGAACATTAACAAGACATGCACAAATCATATGTGATTCACCGGACACTCTACATAACGAAAATAACTATCTCAAACTTGTTTTTGACAAAAACAACTATAACTATGACTTCATCAAACGCGACATTTACAAACCCAACGAATCAACGAAAGGAACAGCTCAGTGACAACAGCAACGATACCTTATATCAAAGGTACGTCTGAGACTATCTCGTGTATCTTACGAGCATACAACATACGTGTCGCACATAAACCAATCACTACGTTAAGACAACTACTAACAAACATAAAGGACAAAGAACAACCCAACGAGTGACAAGTTGCAGTTTACAAAATAAACTGCTCCGACTGCCACGCCTCCTATATCGGGGAAAATGGAAGGAACTTAAACATAAGACTTACTGAACGCAAACGAGCTACTATGAAACAAGACAAAACTAATCACATTGCAGAACATCACCGAATCACAAAGCACAACATTGACTGGGACTCGGCAAAATACATTACTTACAGTACTGACTATAGACAACGGCTTACATTAGAAAGTTGGTACACCAACTTGGAACAAACCCCACTGAACAGATCACAGCAATTACCGGCACTTACAAACGACTTATTCACAGTACAAACAAACGATCAACTAAAAACATTACACTTCAAACTAAATCACAATTGACACCCACACATTTCCTGTAGACACAACACAATGACGTAAGAACCACATAACAAATACGGCTAACCTGACGTTTACTCCTCATTTGACTCTGAAGATGACTACCGCTAAAACCGGCCGCACACTGGTGAACTTGCAGCGCATACTTGTTATTCGTGATATTTAAACGCGTTTGATATTTGACTCATCTGTCACGAATGACAAATGTTGTTCAAAACTATCGTGCACACTAAGAAATTTTGTCGATCACACTTGTCACGAAAAACAAGTACGCGCGACAAGTTTATCAGTGTGCGGCAGGCTTAAGCTGGTCGAAACGTCAATCAAGAACAACAAAAACAGTCTATCTCAGGACTATACCAACCTGGACGATCTACATTAACAAACATGTAGTCATGACTGCTGACTTTCAGTGTTCTGTGGTTTCTATGCTCTGCGAAACATTGGCGTACATGAGATATTTTAATTTGGGAAGGGATGGGAGTGGCTGGTAATTTTTAGTTTTAGATTTTTTGGCAGCATTGTAATGAGAGCGAAAAATCAAATCAGTTAGTCACAATGTAGACTTTCCGTGATGCGTCGTTTTTCCTTGACCATAAAAGCATCTATTGGAATCACTGCCAGTCAGCACGTGGAATTGTTTTGTTCTATTTAATTTTATAATGTGAACTTTTAAAATATAAGGTCTTTTTAAATCTTGAAAGATACAGGTTATCTTATTATTTATTGGCTTAATTATATGAATTTGAGAGTTTCCAGAGAAATAAATTTTGTAAACAAGCGCCGGCATTTCAGATTTATGATTATTTCATTTGCTATCCTGTGTACAGTCAAAAAACTAAAGTTTTTTTAAATTGACTTAAATGAGACTTTTATATTGTTTATTTGTACATTAAACTTGTACATTAAACTCTATGAAGTACTTATGTCTTAGGGCCTGAATACATGGAGACGAGCTGGCCCGGATAGCGAGCTAACCCGATGATTTCAAAGGATTGAAAAGAGCCAAAAGTTCAAGATTAAAAATTACAACCGTTTGCAAAGCACTGCACGTCACTCCGGTTGTAATTTTCAAATTATTGAAAATTGGTTGTTTCAATTTTAAAAGTTTTAAGAAGTTAATAAATCAGAATATTGTGAAATCGCTTGAGAAGATTTATCTGATGATAAGTACTGAATCGTTTCCATTTGCCAAAGTCATTTAACGCTTGGCTGAATCCCGGCTTTCAGGCTCATGTATTCAGCCCCTTCTTTCGCATAAGTCTCTCATATTAAAAATCATAACGTCATAGAGCGTGGCCTTGTAGTTATACAATAGCGTGATCAAAAATTTATTGCTAAATAGGCCACTGATCTTTACTATTTCATTTTTTGTTTTTACAATGAGTGAACAAAGAAATATTTCGATAAAATGACCAGTTTCGACGTCTAACAGCGCCACATGCTATTTTTCCACCAAAACATCACATCTATTTTCCATGCACTTTCATTGAACAACAAACTCAAAAAAATACTTGTAAAAGCATTCATTAAATTTAAAAAGGCATTGATTACAACTCAAAAGCAAGTTGCCTCCCAATTTTCTTTACAAACTACTCAAATAACTCTATTTAAAAACAATCTCTTGATTTTGCATCTTAAATATACTCATAGCTGCTTATATCATTATCGGTGGCACCTTACTCTCTAGTCGTCTACTTCTGAAAACACCTTCTTCGGTTATCAAAGACACAAGTACAACCTTTCCTTCTTCTCTGAATATTTTTTAAGTTTATTGTATAGTGACCAGTTATTTGACACATTTCTTCCTTCTCTACATTGAAATAAACAGACATTAAAAATAAACCCAATCTCCCTTGTAGCCAGGGCGAAACTAGAACGCAAATTAGAGGGAGGGGGTAAATATTCATATATATAGCTCCACCCTGCTGATTTCTTTTGCAAATATGCAACCGTCTTACTTTTTTATTTGTTTATGGCCTTCGCGTTTCTTCACCAGTAACTTTTTATCTTTTGAATCTAAATTCAGCTTAAAATGCTCAATACTCTCAACTTCAGTTTTCTCCCTGTGACCATTTTCTCTGCAATATTCTATATGTCCTACGAGTCTGATGGAATTATTCTTGTTTACATAGAAATAAAAAACTTTGCATGTACTCGAAAAGAAACATAGTTTTCAAATTACTTAACTCTCGCCTCTTACATTAAGCCACTCTTTACATAAGTCGTACACTATTGAATGGTATACAACAACGGAAGATGCCGTCTGTATTGTAAATATATAAAAAATTTGTTCTAGATCTTGCTTAAAAGAAAAATCTTGCATGTAAAATTTTTCATGGAAAGACGACAAGGAGGGAATTTAACTTTGGTCTGTTGCCAGGTAAATGACCGTGCAAGCGCACTTTATTAAAAGAAAATAATTCAGTGATTTATTTAAACGTCTTCTTAAAGTGAAATTGAATTTTGTATCAACAAAATAATGCTGGCAATGAAGCTTTTGGAACATTGAGAGAATGATGATCAGTCATATCATAGTTTACATAGTTTAGACTAATTTTTTATTGTATGTCATTCTCAAATCGTAGTTTCAAAAGAGTTAAAAAAGAATGAATTTTGAAGTTTATATTTTCACTAAACAGTAATACAGTTGAATGCGACATAAAGAATACACATGAATGCTACATAAAGAATACAAATGAATGCTACATAAAGAATACAAATGAATGCTACATAAACAAAGTCGATTACGCGGTATAACAACCATTGTAAGTTTTCTTTTCAGAAGGAAAAGGACCATCCATAATAAATGGTGGAGAAGGTAGTCCTCCACTGTAAACAGCACACTTCAGTTTCTCGCACGGATTGTCAGACCAGGCATATCTAACTTTGTCCGGATCACAACGAACCGAAATGAACACAGATTTGCTGCAATTGTACGCGATTGGTGACTGTATCCATGTACCGTTACAAAGTACCTACGCAAAAGTTCATAAAAGAGTTTGTTATCAAAAGTGCCTTGGTTGCTTTTGAAGTATGTTTGCAAGGATCTGCCTTATGAAGGCATCAAGACATATTTTACGAGATAGATAGTTTAACGTATTTTAGACGTCAACGGAATAAGATGTTCCTAATTTGTTGCATTCCTACATCATGAGCTATCAATAATGTTTGAAACTTACCTCGAAACCGGTCTTGTTCCGGATTTCAATATTTTGTCCACAAATGTATAATTTATTATAAGAAACATGTTACTTTCGACGGCAATCTTCTCGATTTTCGATACAAGTGGTCCAGTGAAGTACCTTTCTTTACCGTAAACTAATGAAAGGCCAGATAACGCCAAGCGATATCCAACATCTGATTTGTCAGTGGGATGAATGCTCGTGTATGGTGATGAAGGATTTCCCAAGTCCATTGTTACAGCCATAAAAGTATTTTGCAGTTGTGCATTTGGAGCGTAGCCCTTCTGTGCTGTTTGGTCCCAACGTAACTGAGCAAAATGTAACGACGATTTGCTGTAATTAACAGCTGACAACTAAATATTTATAGATATGAAAACGATTAGTAATGAATAAGTGGAAAAATTCACAAGGCTCTTTACATGCTGATGAAACCCACCTGAACAAAACCAAAAGGAAACTGTGGGTCAGTGTTTTTTGTGTAGAAGCGTACCATTTTGCTCTCCAATCTTTTATCATGGCAGGAAAAGTACAGTTGTATGGCAATTTCAGTAATTTTGGGTTCATAGCATTTGTTTCTCCTTGATAAAATATGGCACCATAGATGGTCATATTAAGAAACGGCACAATCATGGAATTCCACATACAACTATACAGCGGAAAGGTGCTCAACTCTTTTATTCCTCTAAAAATAAAGGCAAAGCAAAAATTTTACTAAATGCTGATTGATTTTTTTTGATAAAATTAGCTGGCGTTGATCTCTTTTTCTCGAGCTTTTAATCATATTGAAAATCGTATTTTAATACACATTTATTGGACAGAAAAAGATAATATAAAATTGATTATTATGGAGTTTTTATGACATGCTAATTGGAAAATTTACGATTATTCGTTTTCCATGGACATGTTGCATTAATTATACTGCCACCACTAAATGTAAATCAAAATGTAAATCAAACAGAAATCAAAGTCGTATCGGAATATTTGACGTTTTTTTCTCCAAGGTGCCATACTGAAAGAGACCTTTCAGGTTGGCGACTATAATAACTTCTATGGACAAAAAGGTGCATGGACGAAGAAAAGTTGTTTAATTTGCTTATCTCTCCTTCGATGTTGTAATAAAGCAAAGTTGCTTTCATTTTTTTTTCTTCTCACGACTTTCATATTTCGTAAAAATGGTTCTTCTTTAAATCATAGTTTCGTCACAGTACAAGAATTTAAGTGTAATTGCACCAGTTTCTTTTTTATTTTTAGTATGACTACGAAACAGAGGTCAAGAGAATTTTGAGAAAAAAGATTGTCATACTAAATGGAAAATCTTGTGGATCTACATTCTGCGGCAAAGATTGCCGTAAGTTCAGCCTTGCTCTGTAAATTTTGATGATTTGTATTAAATATTTACTTGGAAATTTATTTTTTTGGTAGTTGTTGAAAGCTAAAATATGCAAAATAGAATGAAAAATTTGTAGCCTGGCCCCGTGACTGGTTTTGAGAAAAATTTGGATTTTTTTCTTGTGGGATTTTTTAAATGCTATAACGAGCCCTATTAAATATTAACTTACTTATCGTAAAGAAAGCTCCAGAAAATCTTAAGAAGTTATTAAAACGAAACAGTAACAGGAATTTTCTGAAAGCCACTAAAAGTTTACTCTATGGTAATAGATGTGCTACTGATATGAATTTTGGACTCTCATTACATTATGGTAAAGGTAATAGAATACTTTTGAGAGTTTTTCAACAGTTGTGGAAAACAAATATGCTAAATACGCACCTTGTTTCTTTGCATTGTTTTGCAATTTGTAAATTTCCCATGATTGCAATTGTGGAAGCCTTCGTTAACTTACAAAATGTACCATGCTTTTTTCAAACAAAAATAAGCTTGTTTAAGGCTTTCTTGGCTTGTCAGCCACTTAAAGTATTTGACAGTGCGACAGTAATATAAAAAAATATAGTCATTTTCTGTTTAAATGATCACTATTTTAAGACAAATAAAAAAAATGACTCATAATGACTCATGACGTATGATTTAAGTCTCTTTTGAAGAATCTAAACTTCCATGATATTTTGTAAAATGTATTGATCAGTAATCAAAAAACCATAGTGAGATCGACACCAAAAACACATGTCTTAAAAATTGTTCTGTTTTAGATAAATAACGGTTGTGCAAGGATCTTAAAAATCAAATAAAAGAGATGAAAACTGTATATCTTTGAGTGAAGCCACTAATTACAATAGAAAAAAACACATGAAAACACCAGGAGACTTACGAATTTGGTAAAGTGTTTAAGAACTCCCCAATCCATCCACATTGATTAAGAGCATCATGTGAAGACCATGATTCTATAGGACTTCCTTCAAAACTACTGGCGATTAAGCCAATTGGGTAGTTCAATGTCTTGTACAGCTGCACACCATAATACCAACATACGGCAGAAAAATATCCCCACGCGTTTCCACTTACCGTTTCTAGTAACACAGACGATAGATTTTACCTTAAAAAGGCGTCATATTTAATGACGAATCATTGAATTTAATTACGTGTTATAAAATTCACAGGTACTAAACTTTGCTTTAATTATTTTTGAATAAGAAAAATTTTGAATTAAATAAAACTTAGAATTCTAACTGGGCACATTCCTCGTTAAACACTATAACAGTATTTGTTACAAAAGACAGGTTTATTGAATTCTTGTTCTGTTATCATAAATTGTGATAAAAAAATTCAATGGTGATTAAATGTTTGTCAAGTGCTTAGCTCAAATAAAAGCACATCTTAAAGCAAGGGAGTTGAAAGACAGCTCACATTTAAATGAAATCAATTTTCAAAGTATTTAAAAGAGTAATCCTATTGGTTGTATCATAAAATATTCATTTGAAATATTTACTTTCAGGTAGCGTCATCAGATCGATGAATAATGAGGATAAAATTCATACATGCGACTTATAATCCTTAAAAGCATAATTATACGAATATTGTCCTCTCAATTATAAAGACCGAGTGACGACCAGGTGCTTTTCGATAGTACTTATTTTCAATTTCTAAACACTTCTTCACTTGTACATTTTATATAGAGTAACAAACTGACTCCCCAATTTTATCATTATTTTGTAAGTTTTCTTTGCTTACTTTTACAGCATGATTCATACCTGGTGAAGAGACGGACCAAGGCAGACCTATTTTGCATAACTCCCTCCTTTGAAAAACACTGCAATCAAGGCCTGCAGAAAACAAACGTATCCTTGGATAATGGGTGGAGTCCTTGATTGCCTCCTTTCCATCATCCGACTAAATAAAGAAAAAAAATAAAATTAACGAATTTTAGATAAACACTTGGTTCTTATATAACATTGCAAGGTCTTCAATTAATCTGTCTAAAACGGTTTCATATGTTCTTATATATGATAATCGAATATAGAATGCTTTTACTCCGTGTTGAAGAAAAGGACACTGGTCTTTTGAACTTTAGCAAACATCTTTAACGCTGTCAATAAAATCCTTGTCTTAAAGCTAAACACCCAACCATGTCACTAACATCGAACATCAACCCATTTTTTCGTCCAAATCCTGACTCTGTTCTTGAATTCTTATTCTAACATACTTTCACTATCTATTTTTCTACATTCTAACAAAAATATTTGAAAGCAATACATCCGGCATTTTCTTTTTATCCTGTTATACATTTTAATGTGTTTAAAACAATAAGATGTATCTCAAACTTGTGTTTTCCTAAAAATTAACAGTACAAGCTCACACACTTTTTAGAAGCGCATCTGTTGTCTTTTAAAGAGCAGTGTAATCGACAAGAGTTCCTAGTTTAAGGTATGATGGGATCAACTATACGTTAAACAAACATAAACTCACCATGTCCAGTGTGAACTGCATGTTGCTCTGACCACTGCAAATCCAAACGTCTCCAAATAAAACATCATCCAAAGTTATAATTTTTAGCCTTTCTTTTACATAAGATGATGCATTAATAAAATGAGGACCACTGTCATTCATTGGCTGTAACGCAACTTGCCATACTCCGACTTCTTCCCCTCCTACATGAAGATTTTCACAGTAACAATGATTTTACCGAGTCGTATCAGATAAACCACAATGTGCGCATAAAAAGATGATTTCTGTAACATTTTTTAAAAAATGTGTCGCTTCATGTGTAACTGGTATGTAAAGTTTATGTGATGATTACCAGCGAAACGTTTATCTTTTTTATATCAAGTTTTTTTTAACTCATTGTACAATAATTAATTAATATTTTGACCTTTCATCTAAGTTACTTCAAGCCCAGCCAGAATCTTTTAAACTTATTTAAGTGATGAAAGAAATTTTCGTTTAGAAACAATACAGCTGAAACATTCATATATTTAACGAATATTGGGTGGGGTTGAGCATTATACCAAGTATTGGTCATACTGAGAAAATGTTCTTTGCCGAAGGGAAGCTAAGCTCACAAACATTGACAATATAGAATTTTTGCAAAATCGGCTTTCTCTCGCGCAACATTTACAGAAGCTATTATTTGTAAATATAAAAAAACAGGAATTTTTTTTATTTATAAAGTCATAATTAAAAATATGGCTAACCAATCAAGACCGTAATTTTTGTCATCTATTTATCAATATATCAAATGAGCTCGATTCATCGTGTGGAGAAACTATTGATCGAGTTGTATATAAAGCTTGATGAAAGATCTATTATGTCACGTGAGATAACGATAATAACGATTACAATTTACAGCACTTATATTTAGTACTTGTTTGCATTCGTTGCCTACTGTTCAGTTTATTCTAAAAATTTTATTTTGCTTTCTTTTTCTTCAAGTCCGTGAATTCTTGTCTGCGTGAATGTACATAAAGTTAAAATAACAATAAACGTGAACACGCTCATGTTATGCTATGAGCGGAAAAAACATATGAAAACTTGCCATCACCAGCAAAGCCATTGTCTTCAAAAACAGCTTGGAATTTGGAACAACACAAGCGGAAGTAAAATCCCTTTAGGCTATCAACATGTACGCAATGCGTACCTATTTTTGCTTAAAATATTTAAAGCCTGATTGCACGCGTGTTTCTTTTTGTTTGTATCTAAATGTATGAAAATGATAGCAAAATTTTTAAGAATCTAAATATGTGTACGAGTGAGGCGCAAGGGCTACACTTGATCGCTAACCAAAATATATGCATACACGTACTGTCATATTTACAGGAGGCCAAACGCTGATGATAAAGCTGTCTTATGAAAAAACACAGACTAATAAATACAAGTTAAATAGGTTTGCTTATATTTGGGTAATATATGTTCTGCAACATCTTGCCGAACTACCATGACTTATATTCTTGTACCAGTCATTACAAATAAGATCAATTATTTCTTCTTCGTAAGAATAGGGTTGAGAGCTAGCAAGTTTGGCTGTGCTATGTAATTCACTCTCTGTCCACACACAATTTAAGACAATACAGTTTTTAGGAAAGGAATAGTGAAATTTTTTTTTATATAGCACTGATAAGGTGTTGCCCTCGCGGTTGCGACATTAGCGTTTTTAGTGATGCTAACTGCGTCAGTCATACATAATGTTGAATAATTTGTTGCACGAGTGAACATTTTCCTGGTTTGTGGTCGAGTCCAGAGATATTCCCTTCTGCCACAATATAAGCATGGAAAGGAAAATTCTTTCCAACCTAAATTCTTGAATATTTGCACAACACATTATTTTTCATCAGGACCAAAGTCACTGCTATTATTTGGTGAAAACGTTTCTCCCGAAAGCAAACCATCGATAAATTGCAGCAAACTTGTCTATCCGAAGTTCATTCTGTTTTTTTGGGCTTAACTTATCTAGTTTGTAAGTTTGTCTGAGTAATGTAAAAATTTATATGGGTGTGCTTTCTTGTCTAAAATATTGAATTTGGGATTTCCACTCTACTTTCCAAGTAATAGATTTGACTATTTCACTAGTAATTCACGCTTAAAGCAAGAGTTTGCCGAACTTTTTACGAACAGTTATCATCTAGCGAAGAAGATAAGGTCCCAAGCTTTTGTAGAGCAAAACGATATATTTGTAAAAATATCTGTATTTTCTATTATGATTTAGCGGAAGTATCTTGCTTGAAGACGTGTCTTCTCAGAATTTGCTTCTTAGAAAAGTGGGGACACGAGCATTAACGGTTCCAACACAAGTGGACCTTCTGGATATCTATTCTGTGCGTATATATTATAAGGTTTGAATGTCACCTACTATCAGGGGGATTGTCTATTCTTTGTTGAATACAGCATGCTACTGTGACAAGGCATGCGCATTCAAATATATAGTACCAATTAATTACTAAATGGCTAAATTCCCTCCTATGTGTTCGTCATGCTCGATAAGGCCACGTTTGCTGAACATATCGTAAGCCGTATATGATACGTTATCTCTATCTATATAATCAAGATTTGTAAATGATTTGCTGCAATGAAAAACAATTTGCTATAAAAAAAATCAAACGATGAATGTTAAAAAACGAACGGTTTGCATGTGTTCATTGCATTTGCCTAATTCGCCTAAGAGTTAGGAACCCATTAATAATTTTTGTCTACTTTCTAGCAGTTTAAGCATCAGTAAAATTAAATCAAAATGGCCTACATCTTTTATATACAAATTCATGGACATTAAAAATATAATAGATGCATGTTAAATTTATTTTGAGATTTGAAGCTATATAGTCAATTTCACCTAATCTTTTGATTCGCTACAAAGCTATATAAAAAATGATAACAGTAGAACCTTCTTTTCGTGCATAGACGTGTGCATTATACACTTTGTCACTCAGCCTGAGCTTCACGTTTTGACCAACTTCGCCATAACCCCACACGATTGCCCGTTTTGGTGCTTTTTGCAACACCATATGATCACCATAGATTGTAGAAAAACGGAATTCAACGTCGCCATTAGCGATAGAAAGAGCAGCGAATACAAAAAGAATTGCGTAAAAACAACTTCTCAATTTGCCCATTTTTCTCTTCCTTCATCAAGCACTAAGGTGGACTAACTGTGAAATTGTTGACAAGCTCTTCTTATTATAGACTCCAAATATTTTTTAAGTATAAGAACATCATTAATATTTCATAGCTTTGCTGGGGAGAATATTAAATATTTTCATCCTTGAATTGACACTTTACTTAATGCTGGTATATAATACATTAAGCATAGCCATTTTAAAATGAAATTTACTAAACAGAACATAAAAAAGTGTGCAAAAATGCAAACAGGAGATATTTAGGATCATACAGTTACATATTAAACTCTTGTGTTCATCAATCCAAGTTAATTTAATTTGTTGCATTCTGTAAAATGACCAAAGATAGTCTCGTGCTGACAGTTAAATAAATAAAGTAATTGAAGATATTGTGGGTTGCTAAGCAGAAAGAAATACTAATTTAATCATTCTGCACCAGGTTGCACTGACAGCATTCAGGTTTTACAACTAAGTTTTGAAAGATGTTAAGATAATTGTTGACAATATAAGATAGAAATACTAGCATGACTCTAAAATTCTGTTATTGTTGTGATGGGTTATCGCATGAGCAGGCATGACTGTCAATATCACTATCCACACAAATCATTTTTTAAAACTATAAGATAAAACCAACTGATAATAGTTCATAGAAAATATCTTTGACAACTTAAACTGGGAAACTCAACAGAACATAAAACAAGTGTGAAATGACGAAAACAAGAGATGTTTAGGATCCTACAGCTACATATTGAACACTTGTGACCATGCATTGGCATCTCCTTTGCGGCACTTAGATTTAGCCGTTTCATAAGAGGTCTACTATGTCTTCATACCGACTGATAATAATTATTTATATGTTAAACACATATATATCCTACCAAAGATGATTCTTGACATTAGAAGACTCATGCACGTACATACATTTAAGAAGACTCTTTAATGTACATAAGTCTAAGGTCAATTGTATTCACTAATGATGTCAAAATAAATATGAATTAAATTTGATCAAACCAAGTTAACTCTATTTGTAGATTTCTGTAAAATAACCAAAGATACTCTCCTGCTGACAGTTAAATAAATAAAGTAATTGAAGAAATTGTAGATTGCTAAGCAGAAAAATTTACTAATTTAATCATTCTGCACCAGGTTGCACTGACAGCATTCAGGTTTTACAACTAAGTTTTAAAAGATGTTAATATAATTGTTGACAATATAAGATAGAAATACTTGCATGACTCTAAAATTCTGTTATTGTTGTGATGGGTTATCGCATGAGCAGGTATGACTGTCAATATCACTATCCAAACAAATCATTTTTTAAAACTATAAGATAAAACCAACTGATAATAGTTCATAGAAAATATCTTTGACAACTTAAACTGGGAAACTCAACAGAACATAAAACAAGTGTGAAATGACGAAAACAAGAGATGTTTAGGATCCTACAGCTACGTATTGAACACTTGTGACCATGCATTGGCATCTCCTTTGCGGCACTTAGATTTAGCCGTTTCATAAGAGGTCTACTATGTCTTCATACCGACTGATAATAATTATTTATATGTTAAACACATATATCCTACCAAAGATGATTCTTGACATTAGAAGACTCATGCATGTACATACATTTATAAAGACTCTTTAATGTACATAAGTCTAAGGTCAATTTTATTCACGAATAATGTCAAAATAAATATGAATTAAATTTGATCAAACCAAGTTAACTCTATTTGTAGATTTCTGTAAAATAACCAAAGATACTCTCCTGCTGACAGTTAAATAAATAAAGTAATTGAAGAAATTGTAGATTGCTAAGCAGAAAAATTTACTAATTTAATCATTCTGCACCAGGTTGCACTGACAGCATTCAGGTTTTACAACTAAGTTTTAAAAGATGTTAATATAATTGTTGACAATATAAGATAGAAATACTTGCATGACTCTAAAATTTTGTTATTGTTGTGATGGGTTATCGCATGAGCAGGTATGACTGTCAATATCACTATCCACACAAATCATTTTTTAAAACTATAAGATAAAACCAACTGATAATAGTTCATAGAAAGTATCTTTGACAACTTAAACTGGGAAACTCAACAGAACATAAAACAAGTGTGAAATGACGAAAACAAGAGATGTTTAGGATCCTAAAGCTACGTATTGAACACTTGTGACCATGCATTGGCATCTCCTTTGCGGCACTTAGATTTAGCCGTTTCATAAGAGGTCTACTATGTCTTCATACCGACTGATAATAATTATTTATATGTTAAACATATATATCCTACCAAAGATGGTTCTTGACATTAGAAGACTCATGCACGTACATACATTTATAAAGACTCTTTAATGTACATAAATCTAAGGTCAATTTTATTCACAAATAATGTCAAAATAAATATGAATTAAATTTGATCAATCCAAGTTAACTCTATTTGTAGCATTCTAGAAAATGACCAAAGATACTCTCCTGCTGACAGTTAGATAAATAAAGTATTTGAAGATATTGTAGGTTGCTAAGCAGAAAAAATTACTAATTTAATCATTCTGCACCAGGTTGCACTGACAGCATTCAGGTTTTACAACTAAGTTTTAAAAGATGTTAATATAATTGTTGACAATATAAGATAGAAATACTTGCATGACTCTAAAATTCTGTTATTGTTGTGATGGGTTATCGCATGAGCAGGTATGACTGTCAATATCACTATCCAAACAAATCATTTTTTAAAACTATAAGATAAAACCAACTGATAATAGTTCATAGAAAATATCTTTGACAACTTAAACTGGGAAACTCAACAGAACATAAAACAAGTGTGAAATGACTAAAACAAGAGATGTTTAGGATCCTACAGCTACATATTAAACACTTGTGACCATGCATTGGCATCTCCTTTGCGGCACTTAGATTTAGCCGCTTCATATAAGGTCCACTACATCATCATACTGACGTCCCAACGTACGGGATTGATTTATATTCAAGTTTAAGTTCAAATTATTGACTCGGTATTAACACATTTATGACATAAACTATGGATATGCACAAACACAATTCAGGCTCTGCAATCGTTGCAAATTCGTAAGGATATCACTGGCGAGAAAGGCTTTAGAACAATTAGCACATTTCAATCTTGCTATAAGCACTTCATCTTGTACCAACGTTAGTCGTTCATATTGTCAAATCTGTTTTCTCACTGTAATCGAAAGATTATTTTATCCTTCATAATCTAAAGATAGTTTTAATGGCTGGTAGTCACTTGACAAAGTTACTCGCCAAAGATTTACATAAATTATCACCAAGTTGGAAGTTGCAACAATAAAAACATAAAGTATATTCGTATAAAGTTTGAGGTTTCTCAGAACTTTATTGAAACTACTTGTGTAGTAACGAAAATTAAATTACTTAAAATTACGAGTAAAAATTGCATCATCATGTCAAACAGGTGCGAAAATAAAGTCATATGACTGATATGAGTAACAAAAACAAGCTGGGACATGCAAATGCCAAGGAGGAAAGGACGCAAGGTCTTTAAGAGACTTTGGTTTCTTGGGTATGATTGTTTCCGAGAGCTGGCGCGACAGTATGCTGCAATATTTTAAAATATTGTCCTTTATACAAAACAAAACAGATGATGAATTCAGTATTCACTTAAGCAATATTTGCTCCACTAACCAACAATACATAAATTTTGGCTAAACTGCAGTTTGGCTGAAACCCGTGGCGTTTATATGTGAAGCGCGTGGTCATTTTTCGATAGAATTATAGGGTTGGGGTTAGGGTCAGCGTCTAAGGTGTCCGCTAAACTGCAGTAGTCCCTAAATTTTTCCTGTCACGAAAAAGTATTATCTGTACTGTACTGTTGTTAAAAAAGCCTTGTTTCTTTGTTTACTTTGTCTACAAAAGTCAGAGGTAAAAACCTTAAGTATGAAGATTCATTTTTGTTACAACATAAACTTTTGTTTTCTTACTAAACAGGTACAAGTACATTAATTATATCATATACATGTGACAGCATTTTTTGTTTATAATACAGTAAGTTATAAAAAACCACACAGTAGATAGCCCGCAAGTATGTTCCCGGAAGTAGCCGGAGCTCTTACTCATGTTAATTAGTTTCCAGTCCGTGAAAGTAAGCCGGGCGAGCGCATGTCACCCGGAAACTGGTTAAAAGTTGAGTGTAATAGGTTAACATGATAAATTGGAAAAGAAACAAATGTAAATGGCGATAAACATGGCGGTTTTCAAATAAAAAGATTCTTTCTCAAAATTAAATTAAAAAGAAAAACATATCGACCTTAAAAGATTTTGTAGCTCAAGCGTTTTTGCAAACCTTTATCAGACTTTTAGAAATGAGGGAGTTAAGATAGCTTCAGAGTTTATAACAGAAAAAGTATTGATAAAAACCTCACTGTCTTTGTGTAAAACCTGAAGCGAACATGAATAAGGTGTTAGCGACATGTTTCTCATCTCTTACCTTTAAAGTTGGCTTCAGTGGAAAAAGGCACGGACGAGACCAAAGGCTGCTTTTTGTTTTTTCCAATAAACAGGCATTACAATAGAAGAGTTGTAAAGATGTAATATGACATACGGACAACTTATAGGATCATTTACTTGGAGTAAACTGGAGAACATTGATAATAGACTATATGCAAGACCACGAACAAATGCACCTGTATACAGCTAAAACCTTTAAATCTCAAATTGAATTTTATTTAGCTTTTTTTGTCGCAATGATAAATATGCGATAAATATGCGTAAGTTTTGAAAATTACATGAACATTGTAAATCGTATCATCAATTTTTACTACTTTAACGATCAAAGGGACCTTAGACTGTTTAACAACAGAGTAAAACTGCAATTGGAAAATATAAAATTACTATCTTACAATTGGTTAATTTGAATTTTGTCTTACTGTGATTGGTTTGACCGATTTCGACTGATAGCCAACTGAACTAACATAGTCAAACTCACTGTCTGAATTGAATGTTTGATCGTTTCTTAGTGATTTTTAAAGCATGATAGAAACTAACCTACAATCAGATGGAATTTATGGAAATCTTTACAAATTCATATATTGACATGAATGCTGCTGTCCAAACTGTAAATTTTTCAAGAGGGTGAAAATTTATGGATAAATTGTAAATGCTTGGCAAAGACGATTTCGCGAGTGACATTTCATTTATTGATGTTCAAAAGAAAGCGAAGATTGTTTTGAGTTTTAACAGCAGAAATTTACATCCAAAATCGTAAGTAAAGGACAAGTGAAGTGTATGCATGAATTTAATATATCAAAGTCAATTTATGCGAGTGTGTGATGCGATTTATGTTAATATGGCGTATGGTAAGCAGATTGATGCTCGTAAAATTGTTGTTGCCGAAGGATATTTTAGCTTTGATTTATTTAGTGCTTGGGGAATCGTGGCCGTAATATGGTAGCGAAATGCTACACTCCTGCACATATATTTCAATGGACAAAAAAATCTGAAGCCATAAGGCGCCATACTATTATTTACTTTATCATAAACAAATTTTTGGGGTTTTTCAATTTATGATCATTGATTATTCAATCGTGAAAGGAATGTCATATGAAAGAATGTTATATGCAGTGCGGTGTTTAAAATTAAATGAAGATATGATCTTTGCACTTTGCTGGACAATTTAGGCAATTGTCTCACCAACGTTTCTTTTTAAAGATACAAGGTGAGTATATCTATTGATATAAAGAAAATACCTTTCCAAAGTAGAACGACTCGACCTTCTCTTCTGACATTTTCCAATGCGAAATTCGGGTATGAAGTATTTCGGAATTAAAGCAAGGAGAACCAACAAATATCTAATTTATACATTTATGAATCGCTACAATAACATTCAATGGATTTATAATTTGAATTTGGCTCTATGTAAACCCTATGCACTCATTTGCTGAGACGATTGAGGAGAATTTAGCTAAAATCCAGTAAAAAAATTACCTGAATACATGTCTACCAATTGTTTGGACACTGGAAAGTATAATACATATGTGTATAATAATTCAGTTAAACTTCCGCTAAATCATTGGTGAGGAAAGTGATAGCAGACAATTAACAATAAGTATTTAATTCGTCTTTGTGAACAACAGCCCATACTCGGAATCTTTACAATCGGTGACTTTCGGTTCTGTCCGTGTTCACTTCCTACATGACGTAATATACAACAAAATGAGAATCCCCATAATTTATAATGCATTAATTAAACATCTCCACAACTCTCATAAGATCACCAACGCGCTTGAAAATGTTACTAAAACTTCCTAAATATACTGCGTCTGTATTACTTAACCACACAAGGTGCCGGTCTAGTTGGATGTACAGTTTGAAATCCCCAGTTGCAGGGAGCTCCAACAACAATAACATTCCACAGGTTCGCCTAGTTGGTGATCCTGTCCTACGACAGAAAGCTCAGCACGTCGATCCGTTGGCAATTTACACCGAAGAGTTTAAAAAGTTGCTTCAAATGATGAAAGGAACAATGCGCGCGAAAAAAGTGGTTGGGATCGCAGGGCCACAGATCGATGTGAGTTTGCAAGTCTTTAACAAGGAATTCACCAAGGAAGACATGAATCTTTTGAAAAAGATAGGTGCCACTCTGGACGACCTCCGTCAGAAGCAAATGGACGTTTTAACTTTGAAGATTTTTATCAATCTACAGATTAAAATAACTAACCCCAAAATGGTTGTATTTAGGGAAGGGTGTCTTAGCCTAGAGGGGTTCTCAGGTCTGGTGCCCCTGCCCTTAAGGTTGAAGTAACTGGGTTGGATGAGAATGGAGCTTCCATAACATGGCAAGCTTCTGGGAGGGCCGCTCGAATTGTACAACATGAAGTAGATCATCCACGTGGAAACATTCTTAAAGATTCAATAACTTACAAATCATTTATGAATGTTAACTGGAAAGATTACATTGATTAAGTGACTCCTGAATAGATAACTATGTATTTCATCAATAAAGTAGAAACTTTATCAATGTATGTCGATCTTACTTAATAATTACAAGTAAATGCTCCAAATATAAGTTAGAAAATCATTAAATTGTTGTTGAAGTTGATTACGGCATCCCGTTGTTCTAAAATTTGACTGGTCATGATAAAACAGCAAGTTTAAAATAATTTGTATTACTTTCATCTGTGACACAATGTATTGATAATTCTACAAAGACCTTTGTACTTATTCATTGATTTCATCAAAAAACCTTGCATTGATTTGGGACTTTTTGAAAATGTTCAATTTCTTTTCTAATTAAAGTTAATGTCTTTGGGAGGTTAATGGAAATTTCAAGTAGAGTGCATTAGGCAAGCCAAATGAAGTGAAATATGGATAGATGAGGTGAAATGTAGATAGATGAGAATCAAGGAGTAAAACATGGATTGATTGAGAGAAGTACCATGTATGAATGGATAAGAGTGAAATATAGATGGATAGAGTGAAATATGGATGGATAAAGTGAAATATGATGGATAGAGTGAAATATGGATGGAAAACGTGAAATGAAGGCAATTGGTGCCAAAGTAAAAAGATAAAGAAAAAATCTGGTCACCTGCCTCCTAATGATGAGAAACCTGATTGATTAATGGATGAATTACTTCTTTACGTTATATACAGATTTACCGGAAGGGAATTCAATTACGTTCGTGTGTGAAGAGTTTCCTTATCATGGCAAAGACACAATCTTGTATTTTCAGTGAAGAAATGGACCAAGTCAACAAATATTGAGCTATCTCCCAAAAATATACAAGGAAATGCACCAAGTTTGATTAAAAAAATAATTTTGTGGTAGGAATGCAAAATTTGAAAGCTCTCCTTGGTCTAATCACCTTCTCACGTGATCGGCACGTCAGCCAAGCACAGTACACTAGGAAAATGGAGGATATTAGAAGGACGTAGATAGGAAAATTGTACCATATCCGTATCCATCAAAGGTTCATCGTCACTTGAGTCCCAGTCGTTTGGAACGGGAAAGATGACTTTCTTTTGTCGTGATAGATCAATCACTGCAGGCTAAACTGGGGAGAAAAGTAGATGATTTCGTTTTGCGCAAATAATTTAACAACCCATTTCTTTAATCGAAGTAATAAAGAAACAAAATAGACGTGCACTTACTAAACAGTGAAACAACGCCCCAAACACACAATATAGGGAATAAACAGTCACGCTACTGCATTAAGAGTCTGTTTACATGATCCCGGGTAGCCGGGATTCAGCCAAACGTTAAATGATTTGGCAAATGGAAGCGATTCAATACTCGTCATCAGATAAATCTTCCCGATAAATTTCCCAATATTCTGATTCAATAACTACGCAAAAAATTTAAAATTACAATAACCAATTTGGCTTAATTTATGAATTTCAGCAGGAATGACTTGTGGCCCTTAACAAACAGTCGTAATTTTTACGCTTAAAGTTGTGTCTTTCTTCAATGCCTTGACATCATTTCACGCCTCACTGAATCGTGGTTAGCCGCGTCATGTAAACAGCATCTAACTTTCTGTATTAAACATCTGACGCACAGTGGCGTAGCTAGCGGTCTGGCTGGTCGGGCCCAGCCCGACCAAATATTTTCCCAAAAATGAAAAATTTGTTTTCTTTAAAATTGGATTTGCGAAAATTTTAAATTCTGCGACTCTTTTTAGAATAATCCACAGTCTATTAGTGTAATATTTGTCAAATTGCGTCGTTATTAGCAAAATTATCATATTTTTAAACGTTACTTAGCAACAATGACTAGTGCATTTCTAGTGCCAGGCATTACGCAGTTTAGTCGGGCTCTGAAAATTCAGCCCGACCAAACAGTAAAATCTATAGTGGGATTATCTGCAATCTGATTGGTTGACAGCAACGGAGCAAACTCAAATGCGCTGTTTCGCAACATCTAGTCGGGCTCTGAAAATTCAGCCCGACCAAATAGTAAAATCTATAGTGGGAATATCTGTAATCTGATTGGTTGAGAGTAGCTGTGAACACACTCAAACGTTTAACAACATCTCATTTTCAAAAGCGTGACTTGAATTTTGACCTTTCGAAATTTACGTTCGGAAATCGTGATAACTTACATTACAATGGCTTCGGCTAATGAAATCGATATAACAAGTGAACTACAAAAGAAACCCTTTTCTGTTCGACTATCAGGCGAGCAAAATATACTCGTAAAGCAGCGGCCAATTCCAAATTTACAAGCGACTGCAGGCATTTGAAACTTTCAGGAAAGTTGGTACTCGAAGAAAGATTGGCTTTGTGGTAGCTCAGAAGAGAATGCATTGTTCTGTTGGCCTTGTCTTTTATTTTGCCCTGGATCATCATCTTCATGGATGCAGACGGGATTCAAAAACATGAAGAATTTCCTATCCGATTGTAAGAAGCATGAGAAGGCAAAATCGCACATGGGCGCCTACAAGACCTGGAAGGCTTACTATGGTTTTCAGCCTCGTATCGACTGTATCATGTCACAAACTAGACGTGAAGAGATTCAGCGTCATAACGAGGAGGTAAGGCAAAACAGGGAAATGTTGAAAACCATAACAGAAGCTGTTTTATACTTGTCTAGGCAAGAGCTTGCATTTAGGGGGCATGATGAATCTAGTAGCAGCATGAATAGAGGAAATTATAAAGAGCTACTTGAAAGTTTTGCCAAGATAGATTCTGTTTTTGAAAGGCGATTACATGGAAGGCTTGCTGAAACCCACCTTGCTGGGGAAGGGCGGTTTACTGGAGTCTCTCCTGATATTCAGAATGATTTGATTGATTGTCTTGATAAGATAATAAAGGATGAGATTTTAAAGGAAATATATTGCTGCACTTTCTTAACTATACAGGTTGATGAGGCAACTGTTGTTTCTACCAAAGAACTATTAGTCCGTAATCTGTGACCGATTTTCTTTCATTCCCGTTGGACACCTCAAGGAAGGTCGTGAAAATTTCAAGACAGAACGACTTTTACATGCTTAATACAATTTTACTTATTGTCATCTCCAAAAAGCTGCAGTTTTTTTGCTACATCACATTGAAATTTTAAAATTTGTAGCTCATTACAATTCCGAAATCCGCCATTATTCCTAGGAAACTTCATGTAATTTATATTTTGTGTGCTCGTGCCAGACCTATAACAGAGCTATTCCACTCGGTTAAATTGACAACCTGAGTAAGATTCTTAAAAAAAATAACGATTTGACACGTGCATTAGGTTAGATTTAAGAAATTTTCGTGAAGATGATATTTTGAAAGTTGTAAGAGTATTGTGCAAGAGAAGGCGCCCTTTTTCTAAAGGTGCATTGTCACGCAGTTGCGACTGCTAGCGAGTAAGGATAGGGACGATTTTCTTCCAATTTTTAGACTTGTAGACATTTTAGCTATTTCATATGCTTTTCATTACTGGAAAATTTTATTGCATTGTTAAAAAAACAAAAAGAAATTCATTCTTCAGTTGGTGAGCTTCTGGTATTATTTCATATGCTACCCTCGATACAGTCGACAGAGTAGTCTGAAGCTGCGCACAGATTAAACGCAACGCTAGTCGTCATTCAAGGGCGGTGACAAGCGCGCGCTTTTTCTAAAGGTCTGCCTCGAATTCGTCGTCCATGTCATCGTCTAAAAACTCCTCTTCCTCAACATCGTTGTCATCAATATCGACATTCGTGCATGCAGTACAAGAGCATACATCTGTGCACTTCACTCCTGCTTTATTACATGAGCAACGTTGTGAGTTGCAGCCAGTCTTACATCCACAATTAACATTATCAAGTAGGGAATCCGGCGCTGGGGGAATGGTCATCCATACGATTTGCAGTTTCCCGTCAATTGTTTTCCACCCATTTTCATCCGGAGGAGGAATATCCATTTGAGGTTGTAAACAGGAACGCCAAATCGCCGCTTGGTAGTTTGACCGACGAATATGTTGCAGCAAACTGTCACAAGTTGGTGGTAGTTGCTCATCTGAACATTTTCCTGCCTTGAACAATGAGAGCCGACATTTGTTGACGTCCTCAGAATCCTTGTCACCGTACAATAAACAAACAAATCTATTTAGTTGAAACACAAGTTCTTCTGACGGGGGAAATGCACTTCCTAAGGAACTAAATGAGTTCAAATATTTGTGGTTACGTAGAAGAATGTTCCACGCTGTCTTTTTGCCCTTTCCATAAAAAGAACTGGTGGTGTCACATCCTTAAAAGAAAATTTTGAAAATATTGATTACAGTATACTATTCTTTCACTTATTATCATCGTAACAAAAAGAAAACTAATGGCAGCATTGGTGTTATAGAATTACCAGTAAAGGCATGGAAACCTAGCAAGCTTTGACTAAGATTTTCATCACTTTCTTCTACAATAGTTTGTATAGAAATCAAGCGGAAGTTATTTCCTGTTCCAGTCATGAAGCATATTTCTTTGTTAATAATTCGTTGCATGGCGATCGACAACACAAAAACGTCTGTATCTGGGCTTTTGATTATGATTCTTTCGTTGGTTTCTTTAGCATGATTTGCATGTAGTAAGAGCCGAGTGTCAGCTTCCTCGTGATTACACTCCAATTCATACATTTCATTGCATTCCACTTTATCCTCATCTGATCTAGCTCGAGTAATGCAATAGCATTTATCCTTCGACGTTACATACAACGATGACAGATGTCCGAGACAAGATGATACGTAATTGCCCCAGTGTTCACAAAGAAACTGGATCAAAGACTCTTTGTTTTCGCCCAGAGCAAGAAACTTTTTCCACTGCTTTGGAACATGTTGGTTTTTGTCGAATACACGAATTTTCTGAATTCCAGTGTTTTCGGATCTTCTGTTCCTTTCCGATTCCTTGATACTTGTGGGAAGGTATCTATCCGCAACAAAGTCAACTCTTGTTGCCTTCCAGTCTTTGGCCAACTTTAATACGTTATTAAAAATAGCATCGCAGAATTCTCCAAACGTTTTCCATTTGCTCTTCATTGTTTGGATAAGAGCCATGGCATCGACAATGAGTGCATTGTTATCACAGTGTTCTCCATTAAACTTGCACGTGAGGTGGTCACCTATACAGTAAACATAGTAAGAAATTCCTGCATGAATAAGAACCCAATTTGAGGTGTATTGGATTCTGGGGATTCTTTGTAAATCCTACCTATCGAGATAATAACGAAACCTACCGAAGTCCAACACTAATAAAGCTAACAAAGAGAAACGTTATTTGTACCTTCAAAAATTTCAAATAACTTGGATTTGGTTGTTTTAACAAGACTTCCAGAAGTGGTTGCCAAGGAAAGCGGGTACGTGCCAAGACTGTACGACAAAACATTTGCAATGTCAATTTCACGGGTCTTAGCTATCATCAATAGCCGAGCGAATAGGTCTCTGTTCATTTTTAAATTGATTTCTTTCCCTTTGCTGGTTGACACAATTGACCGTTTCTGGCACAAAAGATCTGAAATCTTGTTACGGGTGAACTTTGCAAAAATGTCCGGTTTTGTACTCAAAAGATTATCTCGTGCAAATTTAATAAACTGCTCCTCCCCTATTTTTTCTGCCCCCAGGAGTTTATCTGCAATCTCATCTTCCACCACCAAGCCACTTGCCAAACCAACCAAATTTTCTTCCTCAACATCAAACGGATTGTTCATGCTCAACACTGCAGACATTACATTCTTCACTAATTTTTCATTAAGTGCACACTTAGTTCTGTCAAGATCTTTGCGGCTCCTGTAAAAATACCGTGCGATACAATTCATGACAATTCGTGTATAGTTAGAGAAACTGCTAATCTACCTTGGAGTAATGTTAGAACCATCCATACTCTTGCATTTGTTAGCAATTGCGGCTCTTTCTGATTGGGCTAACAACCATCTGTGGACCGCCGACCGATTTAATGAAAAACCAATAATGCCTCCCTTGGTTTTGGAGTCACGATTTACGGTTTGTTCAATCATCTGGTCACAAGAAACTGCGGAGAATCCGTGACAATCTTGGCGTTGGACTGCGAAAGTTGTGGATAAATCGGAACAATCTCTTTAGAATGTAAAAACAGTCGAAATGAAAATCTTAGAATCGAACTGTCTATTCTTTTATTTGTAGCTGTTAATTGGGATGCACAAATTTCATTAGATTATACCAACCAGGGTGTGTATTTTCCAATGCTGTCATTTCCAGCCAATAAGCAGTCCCGTATCTGGCATAGTTTATACGATCGCAAATAAAAAACCATGGCAGCATACATCTGAACGACGCTAAATGAAGGTTCCAATCGACTTCTCGAGTCGCCCGAATGAAGTGCAGCAGGATTTCTAAAAATGTTAAAAAAACATTAAAGTGAGGCAGCAAAATATGAAAAAAATGTGAGGGTCTCATGCTGCATGACAGGTCTTTTTGTATACATACAGTACTACTACATGAACAATGTTGTAAGAGTAACAAACTGCAAAAGGCCTTTTATTAAAGAAGCCAACAACTTTCGGCATAGTACAACGTGTGCTCTCCAAACATCAAAACCAATGCAAGTCATAAATTATTTTAGAGGAGAATGTCTTACATTTGCGCAGCACGTAAATGTATGATGTAAGGTTTGCACGAAGGATAAGCTGGTATATAGTACATACCAGTCATTTTTATGTACATGCTCCAGAATACAAAGGTTTTAGACTTTATGGATGATTTCTCAACAAACTGCTCATAGTTCCTCACGAGTTGCTCCATTTGCTGACTTTCGATACAGTCGATGAGCTTGCCGTTCGCAAAACAATCAGCCATGTTTTGAATGGATGTTGCAACACTCTCTTTTTGCTGATTATCGATTGAATCCAAGTATGCATCGAATCGAAGACATTGCAAGGTTTCATACACCAATTTATGACACATAATTGATCGGTTGTAGTGCTTTCCGGACAAGACACCTCTTATTGATCCAACGCTGATAATTCCCGATTCAATGAGCACATCCTACAAGGAAATTGAGTACAATAATGTGACTTGGAAACCCAATGTTAAATAAGACAAACATGGCCTCTTGCTGTTAAGCAAAATACATTCTAAAATGTAAAATTTTATTGTTAAAAAATACTCGTTCACTTGAAAATAGCGAGTTTCTAAGAAAATCTAGGCAATTACCTTCAAACCAACATCTTCGAAGAGTTTTGATATAGCAGAAAGGTAGCTCATGCTGGCATGAAACTCTCCTAGTCTAACAACAAATCGGTCATAAAAAAGCTGTTCTTTCCACCTAATATGTTGTATTTTAGCATAAACTGCTTCATCAAAAACAAGGACAGCTTGTTGCAAACGTAATTTTTCAATTATTGTTATGGCAGACTTTAGCACTTCATTTAGAGTTGAGTATTCTGTTGGGGAGGCATCCACTATTGGAAGATAACCAACTCTTGACACATTAGGTATGGTATCTTTTTGCAGTATAGTGTTGAATCCGGACCATCCCGGCCAGAGGTTGTCTTCATCAGTAGTAAAATATTTTATCATGCAGTACGCAAGGTTCAGTTTTCGACATTTGAGAGTGAAGTCATTGCTCTCCAAAGGCTGCATAACTGACTTGTCTAGGGTAGATCCATCAAATGTAGGAGTTTTCTTTGTAGCAATACCATAAGGTGCAATAGCTACTAGAGGTGCTACTACTGTACGTTGGTTTTTCTTAATTGGTACTTGGCATTCTCTTGTACGGCATGCAAGCTTGGGAAACGTTTCCGGCACAACTTTTTGGATGATGATACCTGTTTTAAAGAAGAACATGTCAGATTATCAAAAAGCTTCTAGAATAAAAAAGCTTCGCATAATTTGAAACTGTTCTAATTTCGACTGGCAATATGACTGACATACCATTTGTCACATGTGTTCGTTTTGTAGCATCTTCTTGGAAATCGATATTATCATACACAAGGGTGATATGCTTTCCCTCTACAAAATCTTTAGGGATGGTATTCAAACTATTAATCGTCAATTGGGCAATAGCTGATTCATAAGCCATCGTTGATGGTAAAGATACACAATGACCAAGACCATTAAGTAGTGTAATTAAGCTGGAGCAACCAGACATTTGTCGAACTGCCATGGCTAATGACAAAGATTTTGGAGTCTGCACTTTCCCACTGCTGAAGACATATATCAAATCTTGGCAGATAGAAAATACCTTGAGAGCTTGCTTTTCCTGTATTTGAACATAACCAGCGCGTTCTGGCTCATTAGAAAAGCCAAGCAGCCATGCAATAAAGTTAAATACCATTGGTGACACTATTTTTTTCATGCTCTCCAAAGTATTATCAGAAGCTAGTGGAGGCCATGTATCATACCAGGATACTGGATTCGTGGATTCAAATTCCTTTCTTAATGCCAATGCAACATTATAAATTTCATGCAACGTAGTGCCTGCCCTGTATACTGCATCTGGCAAGAACTGTTTAGGTTCCTCACCATCATCAGAAGTTTCTGTTGACACTTCATCAGCGAAGGGAATATTCTCTACTATTCAACTTGGTTGAATGCAACCTGAGTAAACCATCTCACTTTTGTTACGCTGTTTAGGGGTTTGAAATATTAGTTGTGGAAACCGTTTTTTCATTCGTTGCTTTAATCGACTTGTTTTATAATTCGTTGCATCTGCATTTTCAACACGTGCAACAAATTTAACAAACTTTTCTTTAACCTTTGCCATGTAGAAAATACTTTCTTCTTGTATTATTTGCACTTTAATGAACTCTTCACAAAAAGCATTAAACCCTTCATTGTATAAGGGTTTTTGAGTGGATTCGTCACATTCAGCACGGTCAACTTTATGGTGTTTGAGGAATGAGGTGTATTTTTGATAACATCCGTGATGATACTTCACTTCTAAAGCAACCAAGTCTTTTCCTCTAATGTGTAGCAAAATACTTTCATCACCCTTAACTTCTGCTGCTTTCCTAAGTCGACCACCATCTAGCGTTCTTGCCGTATATAGTGGATCCCGTTTCCGCTTCTTACTTATCTTAATAAAAATTGTGTGAAAAGTGACGCTGAATTAGCATGAAAAAATATTCCACATTATGGTTTAAATTCACAGCAGTGGTGGCACCAAGAATTCTCCGACAGAGGGGCTTAGGTCCTCGATGGCGGGTCTGACTTACTTGGCTTGTGGAACAATGCGTTTTCCATGCAAATCTTTTTTTTCAGAGAAAACTTCAAAAAATTATTACAAATCCTTGCTTTAATGTATTCAGTTTTGGCTGATTTGAAATTTAAGCAGTAGAGGTTTTTTGCATTTTTTTACAAAATATTCCCTATCCAAATTCGAAAGTCGAGTTGCAAAAAACAACTTCTGCCCCCAGCTCCATACAGCTCCCTACTCTAGTGCCACCCGTGCGTGATTTACAGCTACGTTTACCTACCCTGTCAGTGTAGTATGAATGCTCCTTCTTGCAAATGACACAGGTTGGAGGTAACACGTGCTGGCTCTTTGCCTTAATTCTTTCAACAGTGAATGATTTTGATCGCAGCATTATCTTTTCTGGAGATGGTCCTTCCTGCTGTACAGACGTAGAAGGCTCTGTATCGGTTGACGTTTTTGCACTCTTTTCAGAGCGTCGTTGTGCTCGATGTATTAAAGTTTTATTCGTAAATGCCGAATAACAACGTGAATGGTAAAAGTAACGCTCGTAACTTCCCAAGTTATCCTCTAACTCCTCGATAGGAATCACATTCGTGGTTTTCAAGGCTACGTCTTTCTGTCGTCCATCAAGTTGTAGCCATTGCTTTCTGCATTCCAGGAACCGTTTAAACGATGTTGGTGTAAAATTCCTCAGTGTTCCGCCGTCATCTTCGCAATGAATCAAACACGAATGCCTTTCTTCCATGTTTGTTGAGTTCGAGTTACTCGCCATATCTCTTTCTTAGTATACTTTATATCTCAAGTAACAACCACGAGAGAACTTAATGATGTAACTGATTTTTATTATTTTACACACCAGTATTTATACTCTTTATTACAAACAACAAATATTATTATTGGCCGGAGTAGTTCCTCTGTTTAAGCTATATATGGTACATAAGGAAATTTAACTAACGTCAATAACTGTTCCTTGGCTCTTAGCCGTGGGAACGGATACATTGGTAAACCAAACTACGCACATACTATTTCCTTAACATGTTTTGTGGTTTATGAGCATGACTCAACAATATTTATTATCAAAACATTGGCAGTATTTTCATGTATGATTTTTAAACGAATCAAACACGAATGCCTTTCTTCCATGTTTGTTGAGTTCGAGTTACTCGCCATATCTCTTTCTTAGTATACTTTATATCTCAGTAACCACCACGAGTGAACTTAATGATGGAACTGATTTTTATTATTTTACAGAGCAGTATTTATACTCTTTATTACAAACAACAAATATTATTATTGGTCGGAGTAGTTCCTCTATATAACCTTGAGTTCTTAAAACTGACAAGATTTAGGTCTAAAACAGGCTTCTCCTATGTTGATACATAAGTGCAAAGCTGACAGTTTAGGTTTGCTCCCAAAATTTTCGACAGAATTCTCCATTTAAAACTTACATTTCACTTTGACTTTATTAAGAATATCGCTTTTTTGCCACCTTTCAAGATGGCGCCCGTTAATAAATTTGCCTCACCATGACAACGGCAGTTAGATCAAAGAGTTCCGCACCAAACAAAATGGCGACATTCAAAATTGAAGGAGCGAGGAATTTTGAAATTCAACCGCAAAATACTAAAAAACTGCAGCTTTTTAGAAGTGACAATAAAAAGAATATCAAACAGCAAGTGACTTTCTATCTATTTTGAAAATTTTGCGACCTTCCTTGAGGTGTCCAACGAAACTCGTTTTTAAAGCATATTTTTGAGGCACAGATCACGGACTATATTCAGTGTAATTGTTCGAATGGACAAAGGGGAAAGTGTCATTGAAAGACAGCTTGGGTTTGTTGATGTCAGTTGTGATAGGACTGCAACTGCTATATCATCAGTAGTTAAGGTAAGTTAAGTCAATACAATAATGTGAAAGAGAAATTTATTGGACAGACTTATGATGGTGCATCTGTTATGTCTGGTCATCTCAATAGTGTTCAAGCTCAAGTTCAGCAGGATTATCCTTATGCTCAATTTGTTCACTGTGCTGCCCATAGACTAAATCTAGTATTATGTCAAGCTGCATCCTCCATCTCACCTGTTAAGATTTTCTTTGTTAATATTAGTGCTTTCTGCACCTTTACTAGCAATTCCCCCCAAAAGAAAAGCTTTACTATCATCCCATAGGCTTGAGTTTCCTATTCCTGGTGACACAAGATGGTATTATAGGGCTCATGTCATCAATGTCTTGCATTCTAACTATGAGAAACTGGTAGACATATTTGAAAATCTTACTGATAATCCAATAGGTTGGGATGATGAAACGTTAAGTAAGGTTACTGGTTTACTTGGCTACCTTAATGGCTTCTTGTTTTGTTTCTTGGTACATGTTTTCCAGAGAATTCTTGAGCAGTCATCCATACTTTATTCTATCTTGCAAGACTAGGACACTGTTGAATAAATGGGACCACCAGTAACCAGGTATGACCAACGGCATAATTACAAACAAATGTATTTTTTAATTCTTGACACAATTGTGACTATGCTTACTGAGCGATTTCAGGATATGGAGCGTTTTAGATTTTTGACCTTGTTTACCCTAGGGTGTTTAAGATTTGGAAAGGTGAAGTGCCCTCAGAAAAGATTAATCTTCTAAAGGAGGTTTATGGTGATATGTTTGACATACCAATGCTAGTTAGCCAACTTTGTTTTATTTACAGAGATAAAGACTTTCACTGTGATTCATGCGATGAATTATTGAAATATATTTTTCAGTTCCATTATCAATGTAGTATTCCAGAAATTGTAAAACTGTTAAAGATAAATGTTAAAGACAATTACAAGTGCTTCAGTTGAGAGGTCATTTTATTGTTTGAAGAGGGTAAAAAATTATCTTAGAAATACTATGAGCCAAGGACGTTTTAGTTCTCTTTGCAGGATTTCCATTCACAAAGACATACTGTCAGAGAAAGAAGACGCCAACACATTGCATCATGAGGTTGTAAAGAAGTTCATTGAAAAACCACGAAGACTTGCTTTCTTATACAAATAGGTATACATATATGGCTGATAGCAAGCTGATGATGTCTTACGTCCATGGCATGTGAGAATTTTTCCGGGAACTTTTTAATGCAGTCAATGATGATTGTCATTTCAGCACGACAATTTCATCACATCTTTTGATAGTTGTTGATGACAAATCTGAGCCTTTTTCGGTTCTTTTGTCAAAGTTTCTTTACAAGACGTACATAGGTATCTATTTATGTATGTAGTGTTGAGAAAATAAATCTCATATCTGCAACTATTTTTGAATTGTTTCTCTGCTTTACTATAAGATCCTTCGGCAATTTAAATTAACCAAAATGGTTCTATTTCCTGCATGAATATCACGCATTTTCTTTCTAAGATAGCCGTTTCCGACTCGCTCGGTTATCGCTCGGCGCCAACCATGGTGGCGCCTCGTGAGCCCGACCAAATGTTTTTTGCTAGCTACGCCACTGCTGACGCATACACTCGCCACAATGGTAGCCGGTCATTTTTATTTTCTGACCAATAGGAACACTGAGCAGAATAACCGCAGCCAGCGGTCGGATTATATTTAAAGAAACGAAGTAAATCTATTGTTTATGCCTTATACTGCGTTCAAAGTTCCATCATTCAGGATCAAACACCGACTTATCTTTGATAAAGATTCTATATTTCAGTTTTTTTGTTGAACTGGCTGGAACATAACCATTTTTTCTTATATTTTTAGTCACCGAAGGTTCCGGATAATACAAAGACACCGAACTATTAAAAGACAACAAATTTTCAACTGATATTTTACTAACATATCTTAGTAACATACCTGACCAATCCATAATAATTTAGGTTGATTATAAAGATCGCCGGAAGATGAAACATTTAAAGGTTGTGCTTCCGACCAAGTGTATTTATGACATATAGGCAAATCTTTCGCCTGGGCTGGTCCAATCGTGAATCCAATACTTTCGAGTATCGATTTAAATTATTACCTAAGAAAAATTAACAGTGACATAGATGTTCTTGGTGGTAAATGAAACATGACACCTCATATGTCCCCCAAATATCCATGTTATCCTCCAATTGATGCATCTGTCTTCCAACTGCGGCGCAACTGTGACGTAATTGATGTGCAATTGAAGTAATATAAATAGCTTTTTCTACTTTCCATTCTTTGAGATTGAATCTGCAGCTCGCCGTCTTCAATCGCATTTCCCTTAAATTCGGCAAACGTTAAAGATAGTTCATTACTTCATGTGAACTTCAACATGTCGCTTAACACAAAAACAATCTGACGAAAGAAAAAGGACAATCCTTATCAAGTCGAAAAAAATCTACTTCACAATAGAATGATCTGTTTGTAAAGTATTACATATAGTGTATATCTTTATATAAATTTCATACGTATCATCAAATCTTTTTACTTTATAAGCTTATCATTATAGGGCAGTGGTTTAGCCAGCCCGCAAGTTTGCTTGTGTTATGTAAAGATTTTGATATTCAAACAATATAAAAACAATAGATGTATATAGAAATAAACAATGATAGTGACTTAAACTTTACAAAGCACGACTAAAACTTCCGTGTTGGCTATGCTATTGAATGTAGGATATAGCTATTGAATTTTGAATACGAGAGCTATGTATATAGCTCGTCATCGCTGACTGTCGAACCTCAAGTTGTTATGTTCAAAAATAAAATGCATTGTGTTGCAACGAGAAACGTTTACATTTTGATCCAATGATTAAGATATCAAACATAAATGTAGTTTAAAATGCCATCACTGAAAAACTTATCATTCCCAAAACAGAAACCCATTTCTTAGAAAATTAATATCTAATATTATAAAGCATTTCACTGTATCTTACTCCTGTTTCATGAAAGCATTTACCTCGCTGTAAGAGCGCGCTATCAAGACAATTGGAATCTCCATACAGAATTCGTCCGCCGTCTTCTGGTACGGTTTGATAAAGTCCTAATACTGGGACATTAAGAGCTGTCCTACTTTTGCCCGATGTAACTTCGTAGCTTTGATCGTTCAAGTTTTTCTTTATTACAATGCCATGGGAGGGAAATTTCAAAATGCTTGTACCAGATAAGTAATAAACTAGGAAAGAAGAGAACCAAAAGCGCATATATATCTTCATGTTGAGATCTTAAAAGATACGCGAGTGTCGGATCGAGGTCTGTTTGTTAAGACCAAAGTTTGGTTGTACTAAGGTCTCTTTGCACAGACTGGTGTCTCTCTCTACAGAGCAAGTTCTCGTTGAGCTGACAAAGTTCTAGTTGTGTAGGGCAAAGCCAGTTGTGCAAAGCAAATTCTAGTTGTGTAGAGCAATTTTTAGTTGTGCAGAGCAAGTATACTAGTTATAATACAGACCAAACTTCTAGTTGAACAGACGGAAGTCTCATCTACAAACTGAGATCCTGATGTCAAATTTAATCCAAACCAGCTCTTCGCCTCTTGGACTAACTTACCCGAGTTATCGGCAAGCGCATAATCTCCTTCATACACTTCATCACTAAGTGCCATATTCCACGGGGCTAACAGTTCATTGAGAGCTGGCAAATTTGCTCCCCCGTGTCTTGCATCCACCACTGTCGAGTGTTTTCGTCGTAGAATTTCACTTTTTTTATAACTTCTACATTGTACCAATCGGCAACGACGATCAAGGACAATCCATGCTTTTCGACGTCTTCGCGTAGTTTCGTGATTTCCTCGCGAAAATACTCTTCCTCGGTGTCGACTATCATCAGAGTTCCTGGGGCGAGAATCAGGTGTATCTAACACAATGAATTTTATGGGGTAAGGGAAGAGCTATTGCATGTTGACTTACCATACTGTGATGCATTAAAACAAGTCAAAGGCAACCCTAAAGTGCTAAGAAAATTCAAAATTTAGAACTTGGGCATTCGGAAGATGTCCTTCAGTAGCAAAAAACATGTTTCCCGTAAGTCGCCCATCATCAAATTGAACTTTTGTCGCATATATGTCGACAAAGATACAATATCATAAACTCGTTATTGAATGACATAAAAATCTCATCGTACTGTGTCGACAAGGCTACAGATATAATGACGAAAAACCTAGGTCTGTAGAACTTCTCATGAAGAAAACTCCAATCACAAAACTAAAATGAAGTCCGCGATTTTCAAAAAACCTCAATTGTGAGCACATGGTAGCACCTTTTTGATTGCATGTAGGCTACCGGAAGTAATTTGAGCGTCATGCCGCATGCTTCCTAGAAAGTTGGTTTCCTTATATTAAACTTTCACTAAGTACTTCGATGAAATATCCTTACTTTGTTATATAATTGAACATATCTCGAAAATTTGTGTGCACATGATCTCCATTCCTGTAAAAATAAAAAAGTATTACGGGAAAAGGAGATTTCTTGGAAATCGAACGACTCGGACAGCAAATATAAATAAAAGATAAGGAGGGTCGTTATTTGTAAAGAACATAATCTTTACTGTAAAATATCTTTCCCTTTTTTTACACGAATAAAATCTTCAGTTTACAACACTATAATATTTGTAGTTTGTTTCACTCGATATATAATATATAACAAACTCGAAAAGCATCGACTTGCAAACTCAAGATTTGAGTTATGTTGAAAAGAGACAAGATTTTCAATGTCGCGAATTTAGAGTTCATAAGATAATCGATTTTGCATTTAGTTTTCTATAATATTTCTTTAAAATGTTGTCTGGTTTTCATTCCATGTATCATACAAAAAAAATCCAACTGCCTACCAATCTAATGGACTACTTTTCTGGCTAATGTGATTTAGATGATGGTGATTTAAATGATGCTGATTCAGGTGATGGTGAAACTGGTTAAGGTTTTCCAGGTAACATGATTATTCGTGTAATGGTCACTAAGGTAATGGTCATTAAGGTAATGGTCATTAAGGTAATGGTCATTCAGGTAATGGTCACTCAGTTAATGATCATTAAAGTAATGGTCATTCAGGTAATAGTCATTAAGACAATATTGATTCAGTCGTCAATCACTATCATGAAAGGAGAGATATGTTCTCTACCACTTCTTTACAATAAAAGCGAAGAGTTGAACCTTATGCATTTTTCTTTTACACGCAAACTCAACTCACCTGAGGTGGGGAGGAAATGTTGATTTACACGTGACCATACCTATTTATGGCTAGCTAAGCGAAAAGCATTACCGTGAGATTCCTTGTTAACCGTCGATTTTGTTTCCTAAAGTTTAGCAATTGTCATTGAAAGTCATGGTGGAAGCAAGAACCAGCCGGAGGTTACATTGCTTGCATATGTAATAAATATAAAGTAGAATAACAAATGTTGTAAAAGTAATTACGACATGCAGTTCATAAAGCTACTTCGCCGACAATGGCACCAGTAATGCCCATACCATTCAATACAGTAACCTTGAATGAAAAATGAATGAGAAACGATAATTTGAAACAGTTTAAGAAATACATATTTACGCTAAAACAAACGTCGAGTTTATTTAACTCTTTCATCTACGATCAGTAGTGACTCTACAAACTTAAATTCAGGAACCTGTAATATCTAGAATAGTCAGGCAAAAAGCTATGTTGTAAAACTTGAGAGAAGAGAGGATAAAGACTCTATATTATCTCATTCAAATATCTGAAATAGCCAACAAGTTTTCTTAACTAAAACATTACTACTAAGATAAATGTTCCACATAGATTAATTCAAATATCTAAAATAACCTTAAAATTCTCTTAACTAAAACATTACCACTAAGATAAATGTTCCACATAGATTAATTCAAATATCGAAAGTAGAAAACAACTTCTTTAAACTAAAACACAACCACTACCAAGTTTCCGCATTAACATAACGACTCCATATCACCTAACATTCACAATGACAGCGACACTAAACGCGTAGAGAGGTTGTTCACAATATGGCCACATATACGGACACTCCATCAGATCCACGTAACTCGGACTCAGACTGGTTTGAAGTTTATAACTGGATAATACTTAATATGCCTTTATGAGATCTAGTTTACCATGACCTACAACAAAAAGATTACAAATCTCTTGAAAGATTTGCAGTTTATTTAGACAAAACGAGATCAAATTATGGTAGAAAGGCTCCTGTATAGGACAAGGCATCCCTAACTGGCTGAAAAAATTCGTTTATGCGCCCCCCTCCCCCTCCGACATATGAGAAAACGATAGAGAGGACAAATTCTTTTTTTCATACAGAATTCCTGACGACATTTCAAGATAAAAATTCAGCTCAGACGAGAATTCATTTTTTGAAATGAATTACGTCGACAAGATTCATCTCACCTTGTTCAAAGATATTTGCGAAGGGTATCCGTCTGGCTGATGCTAACAACGCCTGCTTCACGCTAGCTGGGTTAAAAACGTCACCACTGAACTGTATGAATATAAATGTAAATTTAAAGGACTATTCAAGATTAATACAACGTAAATGCACGATGTTTTTAAGTGTGGTAAGCGAACGGAAGATTGACCTGTGTACATGAGTAATTGGAATTGGTACCTCGTCCAAAATATTACAAATTCTATGACGCTGTTTTGATAAAAAAATATACGGATGTTATTGTACTATGTTATACATAATGCTGTATCAACATTTGCAAGAAAAATTAGAAAATTCGAAGAGTTTTAGAAACGTTACAAACTCTGAATCTACGTGAACTTAAAACTAAGCGAGTTTCTTTTAAAAATCTTTCTATTTCCATAGCTGAAATTTTGAACTACGTCAGTAATAAGGTGTCAGCGCCAGCAACAACAGGAGATGCAACGCTTGTAGCGGACAACGATCGACAACCACCTCTAGAAATACAAGTGAAGAAATTAGAGGCTTTTCTAGAATGAACTTGCATAAGAAACCACCTCAAATAGAGCCCTGCGGTTCGCAAAATAAATCGCTTCTTTCCTTACTTTTTGCAAAAGCTTTAACCTCTAATCCGTTTACTATAATTCTAATCTAATTCTGGAAATAAATTGAAAGTCTTCTTCCGCAAGAAATAGCTATAAAAACTCATCTATTGATAAAGTCAATTGAATCACAAACCTCAACTTAGAACTCCTCACTCCAGAACCGTAGGTAACAAGATCAGGTTTGACACGACCATAACCACCTGGTAGTTCCTGACAACGGAGGAAAGCTTGACATTAAAATCATAATACATATATCCAAAAGCATATGAGGGTATAAGAAAAAATAGCATGGCTTCCAGGAGATTTACGTACATCAGAATCAACAAGATTAGCTTTTTAAATTACATCAAGTAGAATGCTCATCAACAAAAATAGTTTTAAAGAAATTTCGAGAAACCAATCAGAATCATTGATACTTTCTGAATTCTTTAAGCGTTTTATTGTCATATCGATCTATCAATATTGTTGCCAATGAAGTGCCAGTTGGAAAACGAATTGGCAACAATATTGATTGATCGATAAGACAATAAAACATTTAAAGAATTCAGAAAGTATCAACGCCTCGAGCTAAAACTTGGTAAATCTAAATTGGACTTAGAATCATTGATATTTAAACTGACAACATTCTCATAACATACGTACTCAGGTAGTCATTCCACGGGCTATTCACTTTAAAATCGGTGCCAATAGATGCAGTTGGTCGTTGCCATTAACATGAACTTCGTCCAGTCGACTGCGCATGCTCGAGCATACGGCGCATGCGCGAATGTTTTCTCTAAAAATTTGTGACCGAGCGAGCTAATTAGTCTATAATCGGTACTAGTACATACATTTCGTCGTTGCCATGACCGTAAACTTGGAGATTAGGTGGTGTTTTCATTACGCATTTGCAGATTGATTCTCAATTAATTTGTAATGGAGCGTGCACTGAATTTACTGCTTTTGTATATGCCCTTAGCATATTTTCAATCATATATTTTTGGCATGCTCATTGTCTATTTAAGCTTGTTTTGACAAATGCATATCAAAATCATCAACACTTTGTTAGGCCACTCATAATGTATGTGACAATGTCAGAGATGTTTTTATTCTTCTCCGTAACTATGTATCTGCGTATTTTATGCATAAACAAGGCACTAATTTTTTGGGACAGATATTATAGTTCCTGGATTGAGGTAGAAGAAATACTTGAAAATGAAACCTCCAACAGCAAAACAAAATCGAAGCATGACAGAGGATAAACAACGACGCTAGGTTTAAGATAGCTTGACGGAATTCAACGTAGTTAAAGCACGCTACAGAGTACGCTACAGAGTTTTTGATGAGGACTCGATGAAGAATGAAAACGCGAATGATTCCAAGGTAGCCAATAAAGAGTAGATTAAAAAAATATGTCTCGAGTTGGTTAGTGTGGGTTCGTCTCTGGTCGTGTTTTTTTTTGTGATTTTGCCATTGTTGTAGGATTTATGATTTTTCTGAGCGTGAGGGAAAGGGGTTTCGATTAAAGTGCCCCTTTCATCAAAAACTTCTATTAGCGATATCAAAAATAGGTGTAGTGTCTAACGTATCGGTGAAAAAATTTTTTCAATTTGGTCAAATTTTGTTTTTGTTATGGAGGTTTAAAGTTGCTTTTCAATGGACCTTGCTCGTCGTTGTATGAGGTCTGGGTCGAGAAAACTTCTGACGTCATCCAAGGTAGTTATTATGTATATCTTGTATTGAGAAATCCCTTGCATGACGTCACGAAAGCAAGTCGTTTAAGACTTTTCGAACGACGGAGAAGGTATTGTCAGTGAAAGCGTTTAAGTCATGATAATAGCCAGTCGACGTGTTGTTGATTTTCTGTTTCCGGTCAATGAGAGTTTTAATCAGTCCTGTCATGTACTTTTGCGAGGTGAAGCTAAAGAAGTTAAGAAATAGTCCAGTGTAGGTTTTCTTATGAAAAGTAGATGTCGTGTATGTGTCCGTGACTGTGTTTTTAGTAATGAGTATTTCTAAAAAAGTTAACTTGTTGTCAGGTTCTTTTTCTATGGTAAAGTCAATGTTCTTGTGTTGTATGTTTAAATAATTAAAAAAAGGGAGAGCGTCATCCTCGTTATTGAAAATACAAAATATGTCATCTACGTAGCATCTCTGGATGCGATCAACGTTTTTGCCAACCCTAACGGCTCCAAAATCAGGAGGTCGTTGTGTTGGCGACCCTTTAGAATAAAGAAACAAGTTTACCATAAAACTTTAATATTATGAAAACGTCACTGGTTTTTTGCTAACGCGACTTTAATTTCTGTCTTTTTATAATTCGGGAGAGAGTCGAGAAATTTATGTCGCGTGAAATAATATGAAAAATAATGAAAATGCAAAAATAAGCGTGGCGATAGTGAACCATGGAGACCGTGCCAAGAAAATAAAAAACAATTACTGAGCAAAATGCCGACGAAAAAGAAAGGAAAGTGCGAAAGTGTTGTCTTCATTTATAAAATACCGCTTCGTAAAATGTGTGTAGTCCATAGAAGAATTTAATGTAATATACCGTGTGTCTCAGAAAGGTAAATCCAAATTCAACGCGCTAATGAGTGCAAATTATCAATTTGTAGCAATTGAAGCTGTTTCTGACTGACATTGTCTTCACAGTCGTTTGAGTCGTTTTTAGAACTCAAATCGATAGAATTAAGCTCTATCCTGAGGAATGAAAAGACTTAACATGTAATAACCCTTCTTTAGAAGGAAAATAGGCAAGATTTTAGGATCCCCGTCCACTCACTAGTCACTATCCACTGCTTTAATATGCCTCCTTCTTTATATTGACCACTTAATGATGCTAAATGATGCCTAATAAATTATAATTTATTGTAGTTTATACTAAAAGATAACAGTTTTTTAGGCAATTTAACAATGGTAACTAGTGGCTAGAATTTTAGGGAGTATTTTTCAATAGTATTTCGTAGTTTATACGAAAAGACAAGAGTTTTTGGGCAATTTTACAATGGTAACTCGTGGCTAGAATTTTAGAGAGCATTTTACAATGTTAACTTCTAGTTTATACCAACAGATAATATTTTTTTGGGCAATTTAGAAATGGTAACTCGTGGCTAGAATTTTAGAGAGAATTTTACAATGGTAACTTTTAGGTTGTACCAAAAGATAATAGTTTTTTTAGCAAATTAACAATGAGAACTCGTGTCTAGAATTATAGAGAGAATTTTACAATGGTTACTTTTAGGTTGTACCAAAAGATAAAAGTTTTTTTAGTAAATTGACAATGAGAGCTCGTGGCTAGAATTATAGAGAGAATTTACAATGGCAACTCGTAGTTTATAGCAAAAATAATACTTTTGAGGGCAATTTAACAATGGTAACTCGTGGTTAGAATTATAGAGAGAATTTTACAATGTTAACTTTTGGGTTGTACCAAAAGATATTAGTTTTTTTAGCATTTAACAATGATAACACGTGGCTAGAATTATAGAGAGAGTATTTTACGATGGTAACTTTTAGGTTGTACCAAAAGATGATATTTTATGGGCAAATTTCACAATGAATGATAATGATGATAATTTTATATTTTCACTACCTACGTAGTTGCTTGAATTAATACAAACTTTAACAAATGTAACTAGTTGCAATGTAAAATTATAATTACGTAGTTGCTATACTAGTTACGATGGTATCGAAAAATTACGTTTGTTCGTTGAGTAATTTTTGCAAACCACGACACCAGTGTGGTGAAGTTGGATTAACTTTTTTTTGAACAAACAGCTAAATATTTTTTATCAAACAACGCGACCCCGAATAAAAAAATGGAGGTAAAGATATGAGAATGATAAACTATGAAATGTGTCCATGGGTCACCGAGAAAGGGCCCTGAAATTATGCCATGGTGCCTCCCAGTATCTTTAAACGGTGGATGTCGACATTTCAAAAAGTGTGTCCATGAGTCACCGAGAAAGGGTCCTAAAATTTGATTCTGCGACAGTGCTTCCAGTTTCTCTAAACTGTGTCGACTTTTTATAAAGTTGTCCTTTTATAGGTGTCGACATTCATTAAAATACCTTTCAGTTTATATATTGGGTTTGATTCTGTGCAAATATATGGCTTCGACTTTATTGATGTATCTTCAGTTTCGTCTCATCTGTCTGTTTGCAATCCACATTTTATGTTCAATTTAATGACTAACGACGTATTTATTTTTTGTTTGAAATAGGACGAAGAAACGTGAGAAGAAATTCGAAGAGGAGGTTGCTAAACTACGTACAAAATTATGGTTCAATTATTGAAACAAAAGCAGAGTTCTGGGAACGAAAATTTGGTTTTTATTCAAACTAGATTGCGTATAAGCACATAATTTTAACATACAGAGGACATTCACTCCTGAATTGCTGTCAGTTTATACATTTCCAGGGGGGTTACTTTTATCAGTTGCAGTATAGAGCTTGCATAAAAAATCTTTGAACATGACAATAAGAACAACGTACGTTTTAACTTATATACTGAAGGGGCATTTGGCCTCCCTGGTCCTTTTATTGGCTCTGCACTGAAACAACCCCCCCCCCACACACACACACATACACGCACACACTTCTTGGTCCCTTTTGGCGTTTTTAGTAATTGATATTTCAAATGGTATAGTGCTGATAATATATTTTTGGCTAGAAGTAAGAATGTTTATTTCATAACACGTCTGTTACGGTGTTTTTATACTGCAGTTTTTTAAATTTCACTGGGAAAATGTATTTATGGACCCTCAGCTTCATGGCTAACGCTTCAGGTGCTTTTTGAGGTTAATGTCTCGCAGCAGCCTCCTAAAATCGTCAATTAGCGTTTTGCTTGTTTAGGAAAAGCTCGAGAAATCGGCAGAGGCATTCCAAACAATAGTAGAACTACTCGTTCATTTGTCAATCGCGTTGACGAATGGATGTTACGTAATTATGCTCGGGCCGTCGACTTGTTGATTGACGGTATTTAACTCACGTTTAACATCTTTTCGGTGTTTAACTCACGTATAAAAGCAGGTAAGTGTAATAACTTAAGTAAATCTTTGCGTTAAGTAGGTCAACGCTGGAAAAAAAAACATCGATACTTTATAAATAGTTATCGATGTATTTTATAAATAGTGCATCAAATACTGGCTGTTGTTTTGATATTATTTAAAAATCGAAGGCCGTAGATTTGTAAAATTATCTTGAGTCTCTATGTTTGGGGCTTTTTGGTTTATGATCATTGATCACTCAATCGTTGCACAATAAATACTTGGTCATTATATTATACATCGTTTTAGATTTGAGAAAAGTAATATTAATTACATGAAAAGTTGTTTATTATAACAAGTGGGGATCACACTCGTAGTCTTTGCTAAAGCCCCCTAAAGCGGGTGTGAGGACACTGTGCACACTTAAGTGACCCTTCTCCATAATTATTATTCTGTAGTATTAAACCCGAACTATTTTACATCCGTGAAAAGTCCAATATAAAACCCACTCCACTTTTCTAGCTGATACCTCATGTAGAGATGTGAACTGTGAAGGTGCCTTGATTATTTGCCAGAAATTACTAAGGGCTGCCCATTTAAGAAGAGTAATTTCTATAAAGTATGATCACTAGTAAATTTTTTCTCAAAAGGTGAACTTTTTCACAGTGTATGTGGAAATTGGATAATGGTTAGAATTCACTTGCATTGTTTGAAATCTGAGCTTTTTTATATGTATGATCTGTCCTTTGTATTACCTTATTTCTAACTTAACTCTTTACATAGAGGTGTAAGTAAGGATCTCTAGGAAGGTTCATGCCTTGAAACTTGGTAGAAATTTTTAAAGA